TGTGTGTGTGTGTGTGTCTGTGTGTAATATGCATTGCTTCAACGGCATAGAACTTCGGAGCAGAAGCTTCTGTGTGGCCGTGTATCGTATAAAGAAGGATCCAAACAAGTGAACCTGCTCTGCAACAGCTTCAAACCAGAATCTTGCTTGTAAACTTTCCCGGCAGTTTATCACAGCATGCATTGTAGAGTGCTGTTGCAGCGCTTTTGCAACAAAGCCAGAGAGGGGTCCGGAAGGACCAGAAGCTTGGACGGGCTGTGCAAGATCGGTAATGCCTCTTTCCAATCCTGGCTGAGCTGGAGAAAGTTAGGCGGTGATAATTGGGCTGCAAAGGGCGGTGCCGAAAGCCTGCCATTGGGCATGCTTAGCGAGCTATAGAAGGGCTTTAATGCACCAAGACACGGTCATCTAATGGATTTCGCGATCTGCTTTGCCGAGGCGCGGGCCGCAGAGATAAAGTCTAAGATGCCATGAAGTGCAAGTGGCTGGCAGAATGCAGGAGCTGTGCAGAAAGGCGAAGAAGTTAAAAAAAAGTGACCCGGAAGTAACGTTCCAAGGTACCTGGAGAGAAAGATCTGAGCACTGCAAGCATGTGCTATTAAGCGTAGGAGCTTTGCTGCAAGCTCCGGCCAGAATCTCCAAAATTTGGGTCCAGGCCGTGTGGCAGGCCTGCCGGCGCATGTTGTGTTGGCGGCGGCTGAAAGACATTGGCCTTTGCACTCAAAGAGACCGGGATAGGCGGTTGAGCGGCAGAGAGAGGTGACGGCGCAGTTGCGATGAGCCATAGGGTAGGCCTTGCACCGAAACATCCGGTCGGGTCTTTAGGTTCAGGCTGCGTGGCATGGCTTGGACCAGCGGCGGGGATCTGCCCCCACGGGAAGAGACGGTGCAGAATCTGACTTAGGGAAAGGCTTATTAGGGCTGGAGTAATCCAAGGCGGCGGCTGGGTACTTTACCACGCGACGAGGCCGGCCGAAAGGTCTTGAGTGATGATGCTGTGCGGCAGTCTGGGCATGTTACCCGTAAAGTCCACCCGTATGGCAATTCCAAGTCGCTGTGGTGCTTTGCTGGTAAGCGGCAAGACCTGGAGCAAGGCAGGAGTATCTGGCAAAGTTGGTTCGGGCAAAGGGTTTAAGGTCCTAATAAGGCGAAAAGGCAAGGCTGATTGCGATGCAGGTGTGCCCTCAAAGTCAAATGCTCTGTCTCCTGAAGGAGAGCCACTTCCCCAGTGGACGTGACATGCAACGCTTGCTCGACAGCTGGCCGTACGATGCAACGACCGGCTCCACTAGGTGACCTCCGCTCTGTGCGACCTGGAACCGACGACATACGTCGTTGTGTCGATATTCTGGAAGCGGAGAGAGCTACTTAGCCCTGAGTAACATTGCGTCTCATGAGATGGGCAGGCGGTATCCCTCTGCCCTGCATCCACTGTTCGATCAGGTCGGCTTGGCGGCTCATTCCTCTGGCCCGCTGATGGTCTCGATCTGATGGCACGCCGACCGACGACATATGTCGTTGAGGTCCGATCGCTAACTTCCGCACACCAGGCGTTTCCGACATTCCACACCCTTGCCTGGTCACTTGCACTGTGCTCCGACTTGGCTGCGTCGTGTTGGGCTGCCAGCACGTCGACACACGTCGATGTCCGTTTCTGACCCCTGCACGGCCCTCTCTTCCTTGCATCTTAGCATGTGCGTGGAATGAGATGCTGGCCAACGTCAATACCCGGGCTTCGACATGTTTCAGATTACCTCAGTTAGTGACATCGACCCGGTCTTTGTCACTTTCGCACTGTCCCTTCCAGCGGGGCGCGAACTGCGTGGTCTTGAGGGACGCTTTGACGGGTATGATGGGCGGAATTTCTTCCTCCCCGGGCGTGCGGATGCCGTCTCCCGCACGAGATAGGACTCTTGCCATGGCTCAGGCTCGTCTTGGGTGACCCGCTACCTTGGAATGTTCTGTGCGCTGCTCTGCCGGACTAACGCACACCAGGAGCGTGCACGGTATACCCCCTTGCCTGGTCTACCTGAGCGCGTAGTTTGGCGACCATGACCGCCGGCAGCCACTCCACCACCGAATTGCACACACCGTGGATCGTCTGTCTCGATCCTGGGTTACGGTCATTTCCGGCCGGCTTTGAGTCGCAACGACTCGGGCACCGACAGCTCTGAAGCCCTTCTTCCCGGCAAATTGGACTTCTGGACTTTGGTGTGCTCGACCGTGTCGAAACAAAGCGCAGGGGCTGTCCGTTGTCTGGCGAGCCTAGAACGGCGGCCGGAGCTTGGTCTTGGCTCCACCTGTTGTTTTGGGCGGCACAGGGCGACGGCTCTTTGTTGCTTCTAATCGGTCGCTGAGGCTTCGTAGATGGGTTGAACGGCTACCACCGGTAAAGCCTGTGCGCCGCAGCCCTTGTAGAGCTTCGCCTTTGTCTCACCGCTTTGCAGTTTTCAGTTGCTTGTTTGTAGTCTGTTTGTTTGTAGGGACCGAGTGCTACAGCCGTAGTCGACGAGGCCCGCTCACGCCAAAAAAAAAGATTCATCAACCTCAAAGAAACCTAAGAACACAGGCAGATGCGACGGTTCATTGTCGGATGCCGAGGCATGCGGAGCTGTTGCAATGCTTGGCTGGGTTTTGGTCCCTGAAGGCGGTGATGCAGTGCCAGGTGCAGGGTCCTCGAAGGAGCCGAATTTTCGTTTCCATCGCTGGCGCATGGTGCGAGCAGGGCTGAGGCAGACAAAGGACAAAAGGCCCGAGCAAGGTACGGGCTGGACGTGCCTTGAGCAAGAAGCCGGCTGATGCAACCTGCATGCAGGCCACCAAAGAAGGGCAACAAAAGAAGTGCAGGCTCACACAAACGGCGTGCACGAGCAGAAAGGCGGGGCACTGGAGGCCGAAGCAAGGCCTGACAAACAAGAAATACGGGAGCATGGCGAGCGCCCCAAAAAAAAACAGTGCTGAGCAGAGGCGCTGCAAGAACGTGCCTGGGTCAGCATGAAAGCGGGAGCCGGATGGACCTGAGCAAGCAAAGGGAGCAGTACATGAAACCCTGAAGCAAGCAAAATGCAGAATCCAGGCTAAACGGGCGGCGGCCGTCCAACGCGTATACCTGGGGCGGCTCGTATGGCGGCCCACGCGAACTCGGTGGGCACCCATGGGCACAAAAAGTCGTCACTAGCATGGATAATCTTTAACCTACAAGGGAGGCTCAGGAGCTCCGCAAAGAGCCAGTCAGGCGTGCCGACAGCCCCGATCTCCACGGCAGCGAAGGTCGCACCATCAGCTGCTACTGCCGATTGGCAGGCAGGCACAAGCACTGACTGCAACACACTGCCTTTTCCAGCAGCGCACAACTCAACGAAGAAACCTGAAAGTCGTCTCCTGTAGCTCTAACTTCGAATGTTGAACTATCTGTACAAAGCATGTTTTACACAATCTGAATTCGAAAGATGAGAGAGTAGGTGGAGCCCCTAGCACCAGGACCTTACTGGACCATCCTGCCTTTGACTCCTAGTCTTTGAGCACATACTCTGCAAACATCGGTCACCTTTATTGCGCACAGAGGGTTGACACCTGATGCAGGTCTGCGCACACACAGTCACTCCCCCAACGAACGTGTTTCGTTCTCACACTGTTTGTGCGGGACAAAATGCCCCCAGCATGAGTATGCACCGCGCAAAGACGTCCATGTTCAGAAGCCTCACTGGCTTCCACAGAACTTACACCTGCGGCGAGCAACTATCTCCTGATCAGGGTCCAATGCTGGGCACTCCTTGCTAACATGAACCCGTTTGGCAAATCTGTTGAAGTACACTACGTCCTGACTTGGGAAGCCCTCATGCTGTCTGCACACATAGCACGTTTGGCGCCTCTTAATATCTGAAGATTTGCTTGCAGCTGGGCACTGCAACGACCTGTGGAAGCAATCCCCATTCTGAGTCACAAATACATTCACGCCAGGCTCATCTGCACCACAACTATAAATATGCAGTTTCTTTACCCCATACTGCCTAGTTACCCTATCAACCCGAACCGTTGAGCCTGCACGAGTGGGATACTCAACGAATCCATCCGCGCGAACGGTTTGCCGCACAACTGCAGCATCCCCTTCTCCATCTGCCCCTCGGTTCAGCCCGTACGAGCCCTCACCAAGAGCACTCGCATGCTCCCCCTGTTGCAAGTCCGAGCTCGCGGAAGCAGCCCCGTGCACACGGGTCCTATTCGAGCCTAAACCGTAAGGAAGATCTACTGGGTCAAGGTTTCGGCCCCCTGCAGTCGCATGTTCCTGCACACAGGTCCTACTCTGGCCTAAACCTCTAGGGGGGACTACTGGGTCGGAGCTTCCGGCACTCGCCTGCACGAGCTCTTGCATCCGGGTCCTACTCGAGCCTAAACCTTTAGGGGGGACTACCGGGCTGGGGTTTCCTGCCCTCGCAGCAGCGAGCTCTTGCATTCGGGTCCTACTCGAGCCTGAACCTTTAGGGGGGACTACTGGGTTGAAGTCTCCGGCGCTCGCGGCTGCGAGCTCTTGCACTCGGGTCTTACTCGAGTCTAAACCCTTAGGGGGGACTACTGGGTCAGGATCCTCACTCTGTCCAGTCCGTTCATCACCAATGCTGTATTCAACAGTCGATTCCCCTGCAAGTTGATTCCTAATCGTAATATTCACAATCGGTGACCCCTGAACCTCACTGGTCCTTCGCCTCCTTACAGGTGTCTGCACATCCGGTCTAAGAACCTCCACCCGGTCCTTCTCGGATCTCAAGTTTTGACAAGGAGTGTCACCCTGCCCTTCGACCTGAAACCTCCGACACTTTAGGCAACAGCATGCAAGCGCTGCACCAAGCATCACACCTACAAGCGAAATCACCCCAACAAAAACCCAAAAATCCCACAAACCCTCATCAGCATCATTCACTTTATAACCTTGAACCGAATGCACTGAAGCAGCCAGACTGACAACAGCTACACTATGTCCACTGCCTGAAGACCCAGCTGAGCTACGACTGCTCCGACTTGGACCACGAGGCATGCCCGAATCTGTAGTCCACTCACCCATCGAGGACTCACTACTCGCACTCCCGGCGCTACCGATCTCGACTTCATCGTCAATATAACCGAAACGGTTCCCGGGTCCATTCTGCTGCTGCTCAGGTCGCTCACGATTAAGGTCATGATATCCAGGGGGCATCGGGACAGTGGGAGCTCTCGCATTAGCTACCATATCCGGCGGCGGAATTCTAGGGTCTTGCAAATACAAGTCATGTTGAAGCTCAGGTCCTTGCCAATACGCCTCCAGAGCATCTGGGAAACTCGCACTTGCTGCCACAAGCACCTCTGGTGAACCCGCGGGATCTACATGTCCAGGCAAAGGTCTCCACTCCACAGGCAACCCAGAAGAACCACTAGCTAGCTCAACCCGTCTATTTTCCCTAACCTGTTCTTCATACAATTGCTCATACAGATCCCACAGATGCTCTTGGTCAGCTTGAAATGGAAGCTGCTCTTCCGCTGAGCGTTCCCGCTCCCCCGTTTCCAAGGACTCAGTAGATGCAACCTGAAGCGCGACTGTCTGAACACTGACAGATCTTCTTACATTCTCGCTGGGTGGTTCCCGAGGTCCAATTGATACAGGAGGTCCACGGAAAAACCGGTTGACCAACGAACCCAACCTACCAGCAACCCACCAACCACAGCCTATGCCAAATCCCACAATGAAACTCTGCCACAACAGCAGTGGGCTACTGCGATCGTCCTGCAAACTAACCGCCTTAGCTCCAGACACTTGAATGGCAAGCAACAGTGCAAGCAGAGCTTTGATCACACCATGCTGTCCAACAGCAAATCCTGCAACTTGCGGCCTAGGCGGTTCTGCTGAATCACCACTGCCTGGTGCCCACAAGTCACAAATCTTTATCAAATCCTGGAGCCTAGCCGGGCCGACCGGCTTCGTTCCCAAGTCTGCAGGCATGTAAACCCCTTCCACATGGGTCAGAGTCCATGAGCCGTCATCAAGATCGCTACGCACTACCGCGCCCCGGAGTCTCAAATGCCGAGTTCTCCACGACCCCGATTCAAGAACACACAATTGTATTGCTGCAGAGTTGTCACAGTAAAGGTGCGCTTCGACAGTTCGTTCTGATACGTCCATCAGTGCCGCTACAGTTGGCCTCATCCACTTTCCAAGCAAATGAGCCTCTGCAAGTGAATACAGCTCACACTCAGCCGTATGGGATGCAATCAGCGTCTGCCTACTTGCTGACCAAGCCACCAAGGCACCTCCCCAGAACAACTGAATACAACCATAACTGCGACTCTGCTCATCAGCTGCAAACGAAGCATCAGAAAAAGCGTCCATGCACAATGCAGTCTCCTGAAACTTCAACTGGTTCCATTTTCCCCACTTACCTTGCACAGGTTTGTAATGCAGCCCGACACTAGGCGTTCCACGAAGGTACTTGATGATATGCTCTGCTCGTGCAACTGCCTCTGACGGATTAGGAACAATCCTCTGCGAAGCCATGCTAACCGCATAAGCCACATCGGGCCTCGTGCGATTTGCTACCCAGAGAAGCTGCCCAGTCAAGGTCTGTGCTCGCTTAACCAAGCGACGCTTTTGCTCATCATCAACCTCCTCTTCTGAACTGACTATCTTGATCGCTGGGACTCGTTCGATACCCGGAATATCATCGCTGTACTGATCCAACAAGTCCTGGACGTAGCTCTCCTGGTGGACACGTATGCCCTCTGGTGTTCTTTCCAGTTCGAACCCTGCAAACTTCATGCGATCCCCAGCTTCTGACACCCATTCCGGTGGTGACAATTCCCAGCGACTCTGCAATGCTTGGATGACGACTTCCACGACTTCCTTACGCGAGCCAATCAAGATATCGTCCACGTACAACGCCACGGCTCCTAGCTTCTCTTCTCGCCCATGTTCAGGCGACACTTTGACAATGTGCAACAGATTAGCATCCTCCGGAGCCTTTTCAAGAATCAAGGTATCGTTACCAAACGGTATACGCATCTCTGCAATCACCTTGTCCCTATGGCAAGCCCAGGACTTAGGAGCCGAAGCTAATCCGTACAATGCTTTACGCACCTGCCAGAATTTGCACTTCGTAACCCCTGCCTCTCGAAGAATGCTTGGCACCCTAACCACAGTTACAACCCGCTTACCACCTCTCTGCACACTCAGAAGTGGGGCGTTCAAGAACGCCGTGCGCACATCAACCGAACACAAAACCCAGTCCGACTCGAGGGCGCATCTCCTCAGCATAAGCCTAAGCGTATCTGCACTTGCACCGCTAGCGTACAGCTCCGAGCGATCGCCTTCACCACTCTGACCACAGTAGTTGCCGCAGCCAACAATGCGAGCTTTCCGACGCCCAGAAGGTTTATGAACATATACCAGCTTCCCCGGAATCTGTTCAATGACGATTGTAGGATCTGCAACCAATGCCTGATACGCTTCATCATCTAGCTCCTCCACAGCTTCGGTCTTAGACACTACCGCCTCATACTCCTCAGCCATGGGAGGGATCCATTTCGGCAGCTCTTTTCGAACTTGATCTGAAGCAATGATCTTAGTCTGAAGAGGAGGAACGTCTTCATCAGGCTCGCTCGGCTCTTCCGACACCGAGTACTTACGGATACTATGGAGGCTAGGTCCAGTGAAGGACGCTACAGCTGCACCTTCTAAGCTTCTGAGTTCGTGAACCTCAACCTTCCTCAGCTCACCCAACTCGCGCTCAATGCTCTGAATTTCACCCAGCAGCCCATCCTCACATTCCCGAAGCCATCCCTCTAAATCATCGCTCAAATCCTCCAACATTGAGCACCGCCTCTGATGCTCAACGGTCAGCTTACTCATCACCTCATCCACTGCATTTGTCATTGGCCAGCTGGTCCGCTCCAGAACATACTCAACACCATCCAGGTCAGTTGCAGAGGCACAAGGACGGAGCCCTTTTGACGCGCAGGGCACCTCACATGGAAGTAGATCACCGTCACCCCCATCCTCATCCACTACTCCTTGATCAACACCCTTCAACACCTGAATCATGCGAGTCAGTTCAAGGCTCAAGCATCGGTACATAACTCCTTTAGGACACTTCGCTGGAAACTCATCACACACAGTAGTCTTCCAAAGAGGGCGAGTCTCAACCTCTATAGACTTAACTAGCATCCCATTCACCAAAGTGTCACACCTCATACCTGGATGCTGGCTTCCGGCAACCTCGGCTGCCCTCAGACCTTGGTCACAAGCCTGCGTCTCGGTCGTGGAAGTTCTCAGGCTCTGAATCCTGTGCCGAACCGCATACCTACGACCCCAATGGACAACCGACGCAGGAGAAAGGGCAGTCCGATGGCCCTTTGGCCCACCCACTTTCACAGCATCACGGCCTCTACTACCATCCGACGGTGACCCACAGTCTTCTACTTGAGACCCAAACCCATCACACGGACCTAAACCACTACCCCTAGGCAAGCTCCTAGCTCTCGCCCGCGGTCTTGGTACTGCAACAAAACCCTGTTGATTGCGCACCGCACACTGCCTCGAGGTCGATTTCGAACTTGGCGCACCTACCTCGACCGGAACCATCATTGCTAGCCTCTCACCAACATGCGAAACCTCCGTCACTCCCACCCTACAATCTGCAAGGTTGCTTCGATCGTCCGAATGTTCGCAAGCCTCTCCAAACACTGACTGGTTGTTGTCGAAAAACTGCGGCGAGTCAACCTGCGGCGGATCCCCCCCCCCACTCCTGACACAGGATGGGCCATGAGACCTCAGTGTGAACGCCGACCAACCAGTCCACTTCTGGACCGACGCACGCCCTCGGCCTTGTCGCCAATTATGAAAGCTGCGAAGAGATTCCCGGTTAGAAAACTGTTGCACGCACAACCGAAGATCACCAATACACGATCTCGCAAAGGGCAGCTGGTCTTGATCCGTGGGAGCATACATGTGACGACGGGGCACAGGATGGTACCTAACTATTGTCCCAGAGGAAGATTTATAACCCCAATACTCAGTTTTATTGCCTGGCACATAAGTGAACCCTGCATCCCATAAAGCCTTCCGGTCAGGCAGCTTCAACTTGTGGAGATGCCGAGCCGTATACCCAAACAAGAGAAGCTGAGGCCCCTCTGATGCAACCGACTCGTGCCACACATGTGCATGAAAACTGATGGGCTTGTGCGACTCATAGGTCACGACCTGTCCCGCAACCTCTGTTCCATTCTCAAGTGTTCGGGTCTCCGCCCGTTGGGGTCCATCTACAACCGGCTCAAGTCCATCACGGCTTTGAATCCACAAGCCTCCCCCGGAACTAACGATCGGCAACACCACATTGGCAATCTCCCGCTGATTGTGAACATCTCGATGCAATTTGTGATCCACATTCAGGGCTAAACCTACACCCGCGAACGGCTCATCTGTGTGGCGCGCCAAGTAGCTGCAGAGGTATCTGGTCACCCAGGGGAACTCAGTGGTTGAGCTGCGGATCCCTGCCAAACCACTATAAGTAAAAGCCCCACTCAAGAAGTTGCACTCAAGTTTCCTTGCCTCAAACTCATCCTTGACCACAGCCCTACTATTGGAAGTCACGTGCTTCGACATGGCAACTGCAAGGGACGCCACGTCCTTTGGCTCCCAACTGCCTGCTTCATACAAGGACCTTGCCAAACGCTCTGCTGGATTCTTAGACACAACACCATCCACTGAAGAGCCAAGCTTACGAACCCTGCCCTTCTCTCGGATCCTAACTGACGGTGCATCCAAATCCAATGGGGTACCTTCGTATTTAAATCGTATCCTGTTGCCATCAATGGAAGGGAAAAGCCTGCTGGTGGTGAACAGCTGGCCCTCGGCCGTTTTCACCACCCACCCCCTCGAGGTTTCCGAAGAGGGACATTTTGTGACAGCCGTGGTAGTTCTCGAACTCCAAACTCCACGCCGCCACGACCTCTGCAAGACTTCAACTTCCGTATTGAAAGGTACTGTCGGCTCACACGGCATCCGCAACTTCTTGCGAGCTTCAGATCTCAAGTGATACGACGCCAATTTCGCCGCCAACGGCCACTCTGAAAGATCATCTTGCCCTGATCCTTCGAGGATCGCCCTCGTTCGATTTTTGATCTTCAATATAGCCCCCTCCGCGCGACCATTGGTCTGGTGTTCCTCTGCCATTGCGTATGTATGATGAACTCCGAGCTTTTGACAGAAGGCATCCAATGCAGAGTTCCGGTACTCCTTTCCCCTGTCCGTATGGATACGTTGGACGCTCAACCCATCTGATATTGCTCGTGCGTACATACGGCTAATGGCACCTGCAACGACTTGTTGCTTCTTCGAATCCACAGCCTCAGTGTATACGAAGTCTATCATCTCCACTTTCGGAAGAAACTGAGTTTTGGCTTCTTCTAACCAATCCTTTCTACTTTTCCGAACTACTGCCTCCCATGTAGCCCAGGAGTCCTTCGACTCAGTAATTTCACGATGTGTAGGCTCAGGGAGTGGTTCCTCCAGTTCCATACCCCTTTCTACAAACCATTCCCGATCATCTAGAGATTCCGCAAACTCTTGAAGATCAAGCTGTGGGTCCCTATCGGCAGGTTCATCCACACTTTCCCCTTTTACCGACAGAATAGGAACTGACAGAACTGCAACAATCAGGTATTTGGCAGCGGTGGTATTCTCATCTAGCCCCTTTGGAAATGGTCCGGCCGTATCTATACTCATGCACCAACCCTGTGGGGCAAGGACTTTCCTATGCTGCTTGTGTCTGGCCCCGCCGCGAATGCACTGCTTGCAATCTCTGCGAAATGGCGTGTGATTATTGCGAAGGTGCTCTATGAAACCAGAATCTATCGATCTGACCTGTGCCTTGCTGGCCGACTTAGCCTCAGCAAACGCCCTACCCAGCATGTTGTTTACCGCCAGCAGTAATCCCGGCGACCATTCAGACCAGGCCAACTCCTTGCCTTTAGTGCACGGACGAGACTGAAAGCCCTCGTCCCAACAGTCAATCAGAAGTGGGTCAATACACATACTCGTATATACTGTCGTAGGTCTAATCTTCGAATGCCCCAATGGACCCTGATGGAAAGAAGCTGCCGACAGCTCCAACCCTCGGCAAACAGCCAACCACTCAGGTGTGGCCCACAATGAAGCATATCCTTGCTCCGGTTTTACACACTGGCGCATAAGAAGACCCACTGTCCCACCTTCCTCCGCATCCTCCGGATGTTCCACAATGCACTCGAGAGGCAACTCATTCAGGGCCTCGTTGGAAACCTTTGCAATAAGCATCAAGACCATCATTCTCATCATCACCACATCATCAACCCGACGCTGCGCCAATTCCTGACAACTCAAGTCCTCAATGCCATATGCTCCCAGGCTCTCACCCCTGACACGGATTGGCCTAAGACCCTCTGCATTATCCCCAGTATAACGACAAGGTGCGAATGTTCTGCCCGGTGGCACACCCACAATGGCCCTGACCCTACCTCGCGCAGCCTGTCTCATCAAGAATTGGTAAGTGCAGTCTGACAGAAGATCCTCAGCAGAATCCACTGGCACGTGCGCATAGCCATGCTTCTCTGACACAAGGTCAAAGGCCTTACGGGCTTCCCCCGAAAACAGATGAACAACTAAGCCGCTGGACCTCTCAAACCGACGTCGCATTCGTCGATTCCACGTGAATGTCTCTGCAACCTGATCCTGAGTTGAAGCTACCGCATGATCAAGCAGCTCCTGAGGGGTATCCGCGAACACATTCCCTACAAGCTTCCTCAAAGCAGCATCTGCCTGAACGTCTCTTTGAATGATCAAGGCTGCCAGGTCTGACTTACTCAAATCAATCATGTCCCTCATAAGGCAGCTCATCCGGGCCTCCCGATTTGCAGTTTGGTGCACAAGCTGCTCAAAGCGATCAATCAGATCCAATGCCTGTGTTTCTGAAATCTCTGGACATCCCGACTGAACATCCACATCAAGATCACCCTCAACCGGATGCCAGATTCTGCAAACTGCATTGTTCCACTCCAGCTTGTAGCCTAGGCTAAGCACCGCCCTGACTGAAACTATTGGAGATACCGGGCTTCTACTCAGCAGGACTCCAGCTTCATTCATCAGTAGCGTACACTCCCCATATGCTAGTTTCAATTGAATCTCGGGGAGATGCAACTCCTCATGCCTCGCTGTTCGCAAACAAGTTGTAGCGCCGCCGTCTATCAGACCCTTTGGCTCACCACTCTGAACCCGACACAGCATGCTAGCAAGCGGCCGCACCTGAGAGGACAATGATGCCAACCTAAGACTTTGCAAAAGCTGAGCTGCTTCCTTGATAGCCTCCTCAGACAAGCCACTCGTACCCTTTCCCGCGCTGGAGGGCTTGGAAGGCGGTGCTTTGGCATTGGCTGCTCCCGGCTTGGCACCTCCCTTGGAGTCACCCCCAGATGGCTTGCCCTTACCCTTTGGTGCCTCGGATCCCGACCCCTTCTGAGCGCTGCCGCCCCCTGGAGCAGTGCACTCTGCTTTGGCATGTGATCCTCCGCACGTCCAACATTTTCCGGGCCTTTCAACTGTATGAGCGAATGTGCATGATTTACCGAACCTGCACCCGGCGTCCGTAACCCACGCTCGACAGGCAGCCTTAGGCTTAGCTTCGGACTTAGGCTTAGCGGTTGCACCCGGGGTCTCAGCATTCTTGTTATCATCAGCCCCCTTAACGCCACCTTTACCCTTGTCCACAGCAGCAACCCTCTGGCGTTTAGCCGACGAGTCAGGCATTGCAACCGCTAACAATTCGAACTCAGCAAGCAATGCAGCCACATATTCCTCTACACGATTGTGGTCAGGAACCGTATCAAGCTGCAACTGCATTCGAACCGCATACATCCGGAACGAAAGGGACGGGTGCGACTGCAGCAAGACCTGCACACTCTTATCAATCCCCTGAAGCAACAAAGAGCTGTCTGGCACTGAGATCTGCATGGATTTCGCCCGATCCAAATGCCGGCACCATTTCTGGAGAATGCCCACAGCGGTGGGCGCGTCACTGCTGATATCCAAATTCGTCAGTCCCTTCAGCAGCTCCCCCCGCTCTACCAGTCCACCTGGCTGATATGTCTTCATCGTAAGGAACAACAATCCCGTACAGGTAGTGTTACGGTGAGACAATGCCATATTGTAGATAGACTCTGGCAACGCCTTGGTCAACATAGCAAGCCCTCTAGCCTCCAACCGAACAAACATGTCACCCGACAGCTTATCACTAGGAGTGCCAGTAATCTTCGCACGCTGCAACGGGGGCGCCTTACACCAAGCATCATAAGCAGCCTTTGCTTCATCAACTACACATTTCCACCACTCATGCCCTTTTGGAGCAAGGTCGGCCATCGAAGACTTAATCTTATGCAACCAATCATTGCACCGCATTGCCGGACAAGCTTCGCTTACAGGCCCCAGGCGGGGCAGTTCCCACAGCGTACGTTCCCCAGGAAGAAAGTCCTTAGGATGATTTGCAACCTCACTAGTCACTGCAGCCTGACTATCTTGCCTCTCCTGAACAGACAAACCACCACCACTCCTTGAAGCCTCAGTTTCACCTCCCACTGGCGGGGAAGGTGGCGGAGCACCCTTCGGGATGCGTGTACCTCCTGGCGTGACTGGGGAAGCCTGCACAACTCCAGACATATAACGAGGACCACGGTTGGCACTCGAGGCTGCTCGACTGGGGCTTCGGTTCATTGGGCTGCGTCGTGACTGAGGCGACCTACTAACACGGGGATATACAGGCGGAGGTGGGGGAGGTGGACTTTCCGCTGCGGCCCTAAACGGTGATGTAGCTTTAGCACTCCAAGGACCCTGAAGATCCCCTTGCGCAAGTGATTCCCCTGCAGGTGACAACTGAGCAGGCGCCTGCACCGGCGGCGGTACAGGACTTCCACTTCTGTCAGGCGGATTCACTGGCGCAGTGCTGTCAGTCAGGGCAAAATACTTAGGGGCTTCCGGAGTCAGAATCACAGACCCTTGACTATCGTAAACACCTACCCTTTTAACCCCATTAATCCAAACCTGCACCGTAGTTCCCTCCAAACCACTTCCCCTCATCTCATCCCCAATTTGCTGCAGACCAATTGACGGTCCATGATGTGCTGGCAATGCACTTGCAGTTTGGGTTCCCAGAGACTCGGAAGTAGGGTCATTACCACAACCCAACCTAACATCCCTAACCCTCCCGGCATCACCACGCTGACTCTGTTCAAGGAGACCTGCTTCAACCTCCATAGGCTGAGGAACTTGAAAGGTTGAATCTACCTGAAACCACGAAGGATGCATCTCTGAAGGCTCGTCTCCATGGGACGTCAACGACAAACTTTGCATGGCCCTAGTAGCTTGCAAGAAACGATCCCCTGGTCCGCTGCCTGGCCTTGCTGGTATCACCTCATCCTGTGACTGCTGAAAAGAGGTCCATGGAGGATGGAAGACTCGAGAGCTGCCGGCATTCTGGTCCCTAGAACCCTGACCACCAATACCCTTACCAAGCTTAATCATACTCTCTAGGGCTCCACCCCCTCTCCCTTCAAACGCAGCTACTTTCTGACGGTGACCGTGTTTAATGCCACCAACAGCATCACCAAGGTTTGATGCACTAGCAGCAGATTGTCCTACCCTACCGTCGGTCCTACCAACAGCAGTTCCCTTTAAGAACTCTCTACCGCTTTGTCCCGACTCAGCAGAGCTCCTCGATCCGGCATCGCCTACCTCTCGTCTCAACAGCTCATTCTGATCCATCAGCTGGTACACCAGCCGCTCCAGAAGCTCCATCCGACCCCCAGATTCAGCATGCTGTCCCAGCTGAGCTTGTGAAAGTCCCTGAGGCTCAAGAGGATGACTCCATCCAGCACTGAAGTTCCCAGCACCAGAGGATACAGGTCGAAGTGACTTACGACCATCGCCGTTAACAAGAGCTCCACTCGAGTGCTCTCCCAGTCGCTCCGACCTACGATGATTGGAAATATCAGCTTCTGCAATCCTCCCAGAGTTTCCTGAACCAGACTGTCTCATATCACGAGTGTCCCCATCAGGTGAGCCAGCGCCCTCCACGGACTCAAACTCATACTCCGGCTCCAACCCCTCAACACTGTTCAGCACATCCCGTGCCTCTTGCTCAGGCGTACGTTGCCCAGGCGCAGTGTATTCAACCTCCTGAATAATTCTGGAACCCTCCTGGAAAAGATTCCTCTCACCAACGGATTCCGGTCCGCCTGAGCCCCCTTGATCGTTTGGATTTACAAGGGTCCCAGGTCTTACATCATCTGCGTAGCCCGACTGCTGATACTGCGGCTCATCTGCAGAACCAGCGGACTCCATGGCGGAAGCGCAGTGCTACGAACCACTTGGGCTCATAACCTGCCGATTGGCAGGCAGGCACAAGCACTGACTGCAACACACTGCCTTTTCCAGCAGCGCACAACTCAACGAAGAAACCTGAAAGTCGTCTCCTGTAGCTCTAACTTCGAATGTTGAACTATCTGTACAAAGCATGTTTTACACAATCTGAATTCGAAAGATGAGAGAGTAGGTGGAGCCCCTAGCACCAGGACCTTACTGGACCATCCTGCCTTTGACTCCTAGTCTTTGAGCACATACTCTGCAAACATCGGTCACCTTTATTGCGCACAGAGGGTTGACACCTGATGCAGGTCTGCGCACACACAGTCAGCTACGTTGCCAGAGGCGGCGGACTGCCCCACTGGCGGGAAGAGGCTGTCGCCCCACAATTTGCGGAGAAGCACACCCACCAGGCTTGCCGTGTAGCTGCCTGCCGAAAAGCCACGGACGGTAGGCCGCGCGGGGCCAATGCTGGAGAAAGCAATGCACAGGGCTGCCAGACACGCGGAGTGGGGATCCTGCAAGTGAGAGCTGCGGCGTGCTCTCTGGAGCTGCGTCTCTATACAGCTCGGGCCTCCGGACCTGTCGCAGAAAACCTCACACCTAACATGGCATGCCAACAGAGTGCGCGGAAAACGCACGAGTCACTTATTTTCACACTTCTTTGAGCCTTGCAGTCGGTCACAAGTTGTTCTTTGCAAGTGCTGTCTTAAGCACATGAAAACAGGTTCCTGGGTTCTGGAAAAGTTTGAAACCCCCCTCAGATGATAGTCCTTCAAAGACAATCATCTGCTGCAAACTTTCGGAGCCAATGCCACTTTTTAAGTAGCCGACGTTACACGCCACTATGGTTCTCCAAAACAGAAGCTCAGCACACTGCACACAAAGCTTAGAGCGCTCCACGACCTAAGGTTTACAACTGTACATCAAATGTAGTTTAGCGGCTGCACTACTTTTGACAAGCGCTTCAGATGGTCAGGGACCTTCTTGCGGGTCACAGCTTTTCGACTAGCCTGACCAACGGTGCTTGTTACCGGACTGTGCATTGGCATCTTGGGGCCTTTCTTCTTCTAGAATGCACATGTCCCTACACGGCTCAGTGTTCACCAAAAGAAAACTGCATGTTAACAGCTTCTGAACTGCATTGCAACATGCGATACACAACTGCGCGAACCTATCTACACAAAGGTCCAAAAGCGACTTCTGGAGAAAACGTGTGTCTTCACTACACACACCTGCTGTACAAAACTACGCGTTCGACTCAGGACCACACTGTCTGCACGGTTTCAGTCCAGCTGCCTCCGCCTGTCGTCGACTAAGCTCAAGAAGCTTGTGCGGCTCCACACGGCGTGCACGATTCACCATTCCACAAAACTGCCTGTGATAGCAGCTTCCATGACCAATGCGCCAAACGGTGACGACGCCAGATGCATACCCAACGGGCGGTCCATCCTCCGTTGTTGCTCTCGTAGCTGGGGCTCCACTCGTTGTCGTAGGACCTGTGGTTGCCGAAGAAGCTGCCGTAGACGAAGAAGAGGACGTAGCACCACCAGTCGCAGAACTCGTAGACGAAGTAGCGCCACCACCGGGGGCAACAATAGGTTGAGAGCTCGCGCTTTCCACCAAAGTGAACCCATGTAGTTGCTCATCACCTTCACGTTGGACTCGACCTTCACCATCAATCTCAATCGTGATGGTATACTTCACCGCGTCCGCCTGGAAGAGGAAAAGGGCCAGGAGCACGAGGATGCGGAAGCACTTGTTCTCCTTGTTCACGCACAACTTGTTGAAGTAGAAGACAATGTAGGTGAAAATGCCGACAATGAAGAATCCAATCATCACCATGACGAAGCTCGTGAGGAAGTGATCGCTGAACTCCGCCGCGTTGTCGTCCTTGATGTTCGCAGCATCCGCGGGGTCCGTTAACAACATTGCCATGATGAGACGGACTGCTGCCTTTCCACTCCTACTCTTCAAACCGCTCTTCAAGCCACTCTGGATGAGATACGCATTCACATCATCTGATCCCGCAAGCTCTTTGGTGTCCTTGTTTACAAAGCCTAAGAGACCAAGTAGAAACTGTTGTCTCCTACGTGGATGAGCCTTGGTGCCAATGTCCGGTGGGCACGCTTTGGTTGTAATCACTTTCTCAATCACACGTCCAAGCTGGTACTCACGTTGCAGCCACAAGTAAGCAAGGTCAATGTGGCGCAAACGTCCACATCCTTGCTTTGAAATAATTGCTCTAGCTCCTGAGTTGTCCGTCCTATGGATGATCGTGACCTCTGAATCCGTGACCTCTTCAAGCAATGCCTTCACGAACAATGCATCGGCACACCCTGCTAGTGAGGCCATGTATTCAGCCTCGCAACTGGATAAAGCCAAAGTCTGTTGAAGTTTCGTGGACACATACACGCAGTTCCCGTTCAGGTACATCGAGTAACAGCTCACACTCTTCCGCGAGAAATGCGATGAAGCCCAATCGGCATCAGTGACAATCTCGATGAGATGGCCTTGCTTAAAGCTAGGCTCTGCACTACTGACCCTCCAGTCCTCATCTTCCAACGAATCCATCTTGCGTACTCGTTCTTCAAAAGTGGTGCCTGGGCTGGTTCTGGAGAGTTTCAACACATAGTTCTCACGACCCTTCAAGTACTTCCCGACGTGACGCATGAGCATAAGGTCATACTCGGTGGGACTCGAGCATCTAGAACCAAGCATGCGCACGGCAAAGTGTATCTCGGGGTAGTCCGAGCAAGTGTAAAGCAGCAACCCTAGGCCACTCCTATATGTAGAATAATCGTCACCTTCAAGTTCTGGATCTCTCACTGGCCGCTTCAACGACGATGGCAAAGGTGTTGGCTTCGGGGCTGCCCTCTCAAGCTTCAATATTTCGCACAACTTGGTCACATACTTCTCTTCAGGAACAACCAAAATACCTGAACCATCCCCGACGAACAACCGCTTCAAGAAGCGACACTCTCCTCCATCAATTCGGACAGGTCCCTCGACCTTGACCTTCAAGCCGCCCTTCTTCAGGCTGCCCAGTAACTCCTGTGCGCGAGCGTCACCGCCACAAAGCTGCAAGTCATCTACATGGCTGTTGCACGCAAGTTTTCCTTAAGCGATTGCCCTTCACGATTTCCTTGAGATGAAGATACCACCCTCGAGCAGCATCCCTCTGACCAGGAAGGCTGTACAACAGCTCAAGATACTCTCCGTCATTCGAAATGATGCATGTAGGGCAACTCTGTGGAACTTGTAGGTAAGCGTCACTCACATCAACGCTATAAAGCACCAAATTCTCACCACTCGCACACAACCCTGCAAAGACACGCTGAAGTACTGCCATGGAAGCTGGTGCGTACAAGTGCTCAAGCTCGGGTTCCAAGAATTTGAACTCCTTGGCGACAAGCCTTGATCGCCTAATCCAGCAGTTGCCGCGGAAGCGCCAGTCACGAACGAATCGTGATTGAAGCTTCTTCATTCCTTCTGGCGCATTCCCCCCTTGCTGGTTATCCCCAAGCTTGCGAACCACTCCAAGTGCCAACAAACGCTTGACTTCCAAAGCATCCATAGCTGCGTCAAGGCGGCAAAGGTACTCCTCGGAGAGCTCCGGAGGTCCATCCTCGTATCGACGATGGGCCCACTCCTTGGCTGCTTGCTTAGCTTCCAAGTTCGGGTCTTCATCTTCTTCCTTTTCCACTCCATCTTCGAAGCTCAAGTCCATGTCTGTTTCCGGAATCACCTCTGGCTCGTGACCACACGGTTGGTCCTCTCGAACCCTTCTTGCAAAAGCTTCACAAGGATCACCACCATCTACTCTGTGTGCCGAGGCCTGGCCCATCTCTGCATCAGTCATCATCTCAGCAGAACTAGAGGAACTAGTCGACATAGAGCCAACTCCACCAGCACTAGAAGCACTACCCTGGCTCGCGGACGGCGACGTAGGGTCGCTCGCAGCTTCATCGGGCCCAGGGCCCGGCGCATGAACCACAGGATCAACTGGCTCAATAAGTGCTGGTGCTCTAATCCTTGGGGCCCTCGACCTCTTTGTTGGCAAAACATCCAATGTTGCATTCCAGGGCACTCCCTTTGCGCTCGCAATCAGCTCACTTTCAAATCCTAAGGCACCTTTTCGCATCGTTCTGGCATAGTGCACACCTGAGCTATCAGCCACAATGTTCAGGTTGCCAAGTGTTGACTTTCCAAGGAAAATCGATCTCTTCCAACCGCTTCCTTTAGCAGCAGCGTGTGGGAGGTACTGGGAGAACACCGAGGAACCAAAAGCGCAAAGCTTCCCAGCATAAGGCCGACTGTGCACAAGTTCGAATGCAGTCATACCGTCACGTTGCACATGAAACCTGCTGTAAAGGAAGGCACTGTGTCGAAAAGCCCAAACATAAACCGGGTGCCCACTCTGGACTTGGAATCCAGTCCGCTCTTCAATCGTTCTCAGCAAAGTCTTGGCCAAACCCCGAACAATGCCAATAAAGCGCTCTGCCTTCAAACCTTGATGCAAGCTCGAATCCGGCGCAGCATAAGTAACCTTGGTCGCTAACCCCAATCGGGTCCTTGCTTGCACGATCGCTGCCATGAACGCCTTCATCGCCGGCTCGCTGTCTCCACGCAGCGTCAGGTTGGTGTGGCCAAGGAGAGAGGCCATCTTCACAGCCTCATCGACTGCTACACGCACATGTTCTGCACTCTTCGACTCCACAGGCACACACTGCACAAAGTTTGTGTGCTCATCGACCATAACGACATGCACTGCCATGGGGTGTTCAGGGCTTCCTTGGGCTGCTTCTGTTTTGTTAAACATGTAGTCAAAGTGGATCACCCCCAGCTCTTTTGGAGTACTTGCCGAATGGTTGTCCTCTCTAGACCGCGAAGCCACACATGCATTGCACCACGGCATTCTGGGGCAGTGGGTGACTTCATGAAGTGCCACCGTCTCGGCATCCGGAGGAGCTGTTCCAGATTCCGTTTGAGGTTCTCGGCGGTATGCTTCCAACACTGCATCAGCTGCTTGCACAGAATGTCGAAGCTGAGAATCTGCTACCTCACTCTGAAGCCTGCTCCACAGTACAGCCTTGCTCCCATTCTTGCTCACTCGAAGAAACTGGCATGCTCTACGCAACACTTTCAGCGAAGAGTCTTCAGTGAGCTCAACATCATTAACCACCAAAGTTGCTTGTCTCCCCGCAGCCAGGTGGACCTCGGGACCCACAGGATCGCCTTGTTCTTCAGCGCCGCCACCGCGCTGTCCATCAACCTGGGCTGGAGGAGAATCGGGAACACGTTCAGGGGCCGCCGCCATCCAAGCATCACCGTCATCATGAGCAGGGGCTTCTTCGGGAACAATGTATTCAGGACGAAACTGCTCATTTACAATCACCTTTCCAATGTCCCTGGGCTCCACTGGTGCAGCACTCAAGATAGTAACAACCTTGGTTGCAGGACGTTCTGTGCTCAAAGTTTTCCGATCCTCCCAATATTCGCCAGACTCAAACACTTCATATCGACGATCACCCTGTGAAAGCAACGTGGTGCGAAACGGCCACTGCTGCGAAGGGAACACCAGAGAAGGATCAACGGTGCAGCTGCTGCTTGTGCTCACGTGCATGGGGCCCCCATCTGGGGAGAGGCTCCACCCTTGAATCTCAGTGCCGCTCTCCATCAACTCGGAAAGCTCAATCACAACTGCACGGACATGTTCCTCAAGTCGATAAATCTTCATGTTTGCTGCAAGCGAGTTCCGAGACATGTGCACTGGGAAGCTGTTGCCACCCTTGCTCATCTGCAAACGGCCGTCAACATCCCCGAGGCTCCAGTGATCTCGAATCAGCTTCCCCACACTCAAAAGAGGCTGCTTCACTTGAGCTACGACAACCTTGTCCCGGAAGAACAGCCGCTGGCCTTCGTTGCCCTCGACTTCAAAGACCACGTTCTTTCTGTAGCTCGCCATCGGGATGACATTACCTTGGGCATCGCGGATCATGGTGTTGTTTGCATTGGGTTCTCCTACCGCGCCGTGGGAGAGGGGAAGCACTGTCACATCCGCTCCAGAATCCAAGATCACTTGCTCAAACTCATGCTGCATCGGCTGCTCACTGACCATACGAACGTCATGCTCACAATCACTGTCTTCATCACTCTCCGCTATGTCAAACACCAGCGTGCTACTCGACTGGAGCTCAGCTTCGGCTTCAGCTTCAACTTCTAAGGCACTTCCCGCACAAAGTTCCACGGCACGTACCTGGTACTCATCGGGCTCGTCGAAATAGTCATCCCAGTCATCGTCCTCACAGGCCAAATCGAAGAACTCACAGGTGGGAGTCTGGGGAGTCTCGAAGATCACTAGGTTGATGTCATTGGGCTGCTCGTGCACTACTTCAAGACGACGAACATTTGTGGTTGCTCTCGAGGGGTTCCGGGCACTAGAGGTAGAAGACGAAGGCACACTAGCAGTAGACGCTGCAGACGAAGGAATACCAGTAGAAGCATCATCAGGAACTGGCTGTTGAACTTGCTGCACAAACCCTACTCTGCAATCAGCTTGAAGATGTCCCATGCGACCGCACTTGTGACAGGGACCAATCTGCTTGCCTTTTCCCTTGCCTCCCTTCTTGCCTCCATGCCCCTTTCCTTTGTCCTTTCCCCAAGAGCCTTTTCCTTTTCCTTTATCTCCCTTGTAGTTGTTGTTGTAGGCGTTGTTGTTGTAACTACCTTTGCTCCAATGGTCACCCTTGCCCTTCTGATAGTAGTTGTTGTCGCCCTTCTTGCCGGTGCCCTTCTTGCCAAAGCCCTTCTTCCCTTTTCCTTTCTCAACGCGATCTACCTCCATTGGCACAACATCTGACGTGTCCAAGAACTTCGAATCTTTGTCGATGCCAACCGACCGCAACACATGCTCCGAAGACCACCCTGCGGTAGTCCGTTCATACTGCAGCAACCGGGTGCGCAGCTTCTCGTAGGTCATGCTGTCGTCCATGTTCAGCTCCAGGTACTTCCGCACGTCGCTAGGCAGTCCTGCCAGGAGCGTTGAAATTTTCAAGTTGTTGTGGTAGGGATGAGGTGCAACCTTTGCGTACTCTGTGAGGAGTCTCTCGAACGCAAGGGTGTAGTCTAGCAAACTGCCGCCCTCTTTGTACGGTGGGAACTTTACCAAAGCCTGTGCCAACGCAAGTGCTCGAGGACGACTAGAAGGTTGGAGTTCATCTACCAAAGAGCGCCACACACGGAACCCGTCACCGTCTGCTACCGACCGCAGCAATCGGAGAGGACGGTTCCGAAGATAAGTCGCCAATATAGAGTACAATCTGATGCTTCGAGCTTTGGTTCCGGACTCGTAATCGGCAAATGCGAGGATCTCGGTGGCTTTCTCGACTTTCAGAAGATCGTCCCTAAATGCCCCGTCCTGTACTGAAAGCCAATTACGAAAACAGAAGGACCAATCCGGCCAACCGGCCAGTTCTTCATCAAGGGTTTTGGGCGCAAACACATCAGGAGCTTTCACAAACTTGGCTTCTCTCACAGAAGAATCTTGCTGGTTCGCAGCCAGCAAAGACAAAGCTGTTGCCAACTGCTGCACTACAACTCCAGGGTCCACAGGCGGCGCGGGCGCCGACCCTGCTGCAGGTGCCGACGTGGCACTCTGACCTCCAGGGGATGCTCCTCCCCCAGGCTGGGGTCCTTGATCTCCTTGAGGAGGACTTGACATGTCACACTCGATGGCTCAAGGCTCAGTTCTCTGTATCCTCTCTGCAAGCACCGCAAAGAACACACACTTGACCGACTTTTGAAGAAAACCAAAGAGGTAAGTCACGTAGAGGCTCTGGCCGCCACAGCACTCGGGCACACGACACGCGAGGAGTATGCCGATCACAATCGGGCTCAAGAACTAGCAAGGGCCCGGGGCACAAGCTAGCTACCCTACGAGCCTGCCCTGTTGGCGAGGCTCCGCTACCACAACAGAGTGCGCGGAAAACGCACGAGTCACTTATTTTCACACTTCTTTGAGCCTTGCAGTCGGTCACAAGTTGTTCTTTGCAAGTGCTGTCTTAAGCACATGACAACAGGTTCCTGGGTTCTGGAAAAGTTTGAAACATGCGCTAACTTGATGACCGGCAAGGGAGAGAGCAGGAGGCTGGTAAATCGGCCAGTGGCGCTAAGTCGCGCCGATGCCGTCGCCGACAGCTTGGCGTAACTCTCGGCGAGGCAGCCAGTGGGGCCATAACACTGGGTAGAACACATGAGTTGCCACGCATCGTTGCGTGCCGGGGCGCAAAACGTGCTGGTGCCGGAGCACTCGATGCGTACCTCAGTCGCCGAAGGGCAGCCAGCCCCCGGGCGGTCATCGTCATCTGCATGGGCCATGTCAAAGCCTTTGACCGCACGGTAAAAGTAGGGTACCAGGTCGTGGTCCGAGACGACTAAGGTCATCATTTGCTCACCTGCGGGGGATGGGGCAGAAATGGCCGCCACTTGCTCCAGCTCCGTTGCTGGCAGGAGGGCACAAATCCGCCAGCGCGCCCACGTGCGCATGTGAGGCGAAGGGAGGACCCGCCGTGCCCCGGGCCCAGGAAAGTGCTCAGGGGCCACCACGCTGAAGCCACAGCCCCCATCAGGCCCAGACTGGAGACTGCCCACCAGGGTGGGGCGCCGCGCCACCCCCAGAGTGTTTCTGCTAGAGTGGGCAATGAGCGAAGGCGTTCCAGCTGCGCCAGAGGGGCCTTGCCATTGGCACCATAGCCGTGCACAAAGGCCGGGCCTACACATTTGCGATCCGGGGGAAGCGTTTTGGCCATGAAGAGGAAGGGCCTCGGCAGGCTGCACACCCTGCAGTGGCTAGAGCTCAAGGCAAAGAGAGTGGAATTAGCACATTGTTCATGGGCCCCTCTGGCCCATCCCAAGGCTTCCTCGTGCGGTTGCAAGACTTCCCGTAGGGAGTCATCCGGATTGGGCGTTTTCATGCTAGCGTTGAAGCAGCCCTGCACATTCGCTTGCCAGTACGGCGGCTGCAGGACCGCTCCCAAGTATGCCCAAGTGGTGACCACGTCTCCGCTGTGCCGTGCTTGTGCTCCAAAAAGTGGAGTGCCTGCCAAAAGTTCAGCGGTCCGACGCTCCCGAGGTCTGGGACGCTGCAGCGTCGCCAGGTGTGCAAGTTTCGACAGTAGAAGTGGGACAACTTCGGCTGACCACTCCGCCAAAACCGTCGGGGACAAGCCAAAGCGGCGGCAGAGTTGCGAGTCTCCAATGGTGCCATCGCCTCCAGCCTCATCACAAGCGTCGAACCGCTCCGACTTGTCGGTAGCGCTTTCTAAGTAGACAGAACTGTAGGCTCGCAGAGCGAGCCGGGGCGGGTCCAGTATCGTGTACAGTCTTGCGGTATGTGGTAGTTTCACTCAAAGCAGAATTTTTACATGTGATTTTCACGGTGAATTTTTCATGAATGTTTTTCCTGGCATTTTCGGCATGCGAGATTCACTTTGTGATTTGATCTCAATCAGCATGGCCGCGCTCGCCCTCTCAAGCAACAGAAGGGCGGGGCCCAACATTCATGAAATTTTTGAACGGCCTAGGGGGGGCCGTGCATGGACCGGCGTCTTCGACGCCCGCCGCCGGCTCGCCGCCGCTTGCTTCTGTTGCACTTGTGCCAGTGCTTAAGCGTGAGGGGCTGGCAATCTGAGATTCTTCGGCCGGAGCCTCCCTTGCGAATCAACCTTGTGCAACTGCTTGGGGCCACGGCTCCCGGGGCTCGGTTCCTGCTCCTTGCAGGGGTCACTTGTTTTGACAGTTTGCAGCCCGTGAGCCGCGCAATTGCTGCTATCTTTGCAGCCATCCGAGAGCAGGTGCAGTCTGCGCGCCGGCGCCTGGCTCTTGCTTACAACCGTCCTTGACATGAGTGACTCCGCTCGCCAGGTCGATGAGCTTCTCCGCACCATTGATCTTACAGATGCCGGGGGGATTGAGGATCAAGAAGCCGGTTCAGTCGTGCCAGAGTCTGACCAGAACATTCCTGCTGCACCAAGCTTAGATCAAGAGATTCCGGACAACCAGCTGTTGTCATTTCTTGAAGATGATGAGGTGTGGGACGGCCGATCCCTTAGCGCCCCTGACCTTTCTTGTGCTGCTGAAATTTCTGAATCGGAGAGGGAGTGGTACTTGATTGCGGGGTCGTTCGGGGCAGCCGCTGCAGAGTGTGCGCCTAGTGAGCAGTCACCACCGAGCTTGGAGCCAGAGCAAACTCTGGCAGTCCCGGCCCTGGACAGCATCGCCGAGGACCAGTTGCAGCAGAGTGCCGTGGGGCATATCCATAAGAGGCTCCGCTTGGAAGCCCCACTCCTCCCGTGGGAGACACAACCGTTTGCCGCAATCTTCGGGGGCCCATCTTGGCATGACACCTTGCAGCGCCGGATCAATTTGGATCTAATGCCTGGGGTAGGTAGTGCCGACGTCCTTAAGCCTGCCGTGCCTAAGGTTCCTGCCCCTAAGCCCCAGATCGTAGCAGCGTCACTTGCGAACCGTCTTCACCGCTTCCGGCCGGAGGCTTCAGACGAAGATGTTCGCAATCTTGCCTTAGCCAAGCTCAAGGTATTGATTACTAGTGACCCTCTGGCCAGTGAGCTGGGTAAGTCCTTGATTGATAAGCTGGGAGGTCTGGTGCAAGAGGCTGTGGTAGCTCAGTCCTTTGCAGATGCTTTCCGTGCCAAGGCATCATCCACGCTCAATGGGCATGCTTGTGCGCTTACACGGTTCAGCGCGTGGTGTGCTTGCCAGGCGGCAGAACCTCTTCGAGTTGATGAGGAGCAGCTATATGCGTACTTGTGTGAAATGCGGTCCTCCAACCGGGGGGCTACTTCGGGAAACAAGTTTTTGCAGTCGCTGACTTTCTTGGAGTACTCCGTTGGATTGATCTTCTTTTCAACTGATGTGGCAGTATCTGCGAGGGTTCGGGGCGTAGCTCGTGACATGGCCCTCACCAAGGCTCCGCTGTCTCAGAGGCCCCCACTCACTGTGGAACAGGTTGCGGCACTTGAGGCCCTACTTGTTAACGACCTGAATGATACCGACGCCTGTGTGCTGGGCCAGATACTCTTTGCTGTCCACTCTGCCGGCAGGTGGAGGGATATCCAGGGGTTGCAGTCCGTGGATGTCTCCGAAGGTTCTGAGACCGCCCTGTTGCTTGCAAATGGCCTGAAGAGCAAGACCACCCAAACGGCTGAGGCGCAAAGGAGGCTCTTGCCGTACGTCGCAATCTCCACTGGTGTCTCGGGTTATGACTGGGGTGACCGGTGGCTCACCGAGGGCCTTCAGTGGGGAGGCGACTTCTGTCTCCCTTCGTTCTCCTTGAGGCTGGGGCAGTGGAGCACGGCCCGCATGGGTTCCGGAGAGGCATCAGCATACCTTAGAGATTTTCTTGAGGCCGTTAATCTGCCGAACAGCAAAGTTGGGACCCATAGTCTTAAGACCACCTTGTTGACGTGGGCGAGCCGCTCAGTTCGAATCGACTTCAGTGAGCCCGAAAGGCTGCACCTGGGCCACCATTCGGCCCCGGGCACCAGGTCGATGCTCGTATACAGCAGGGAGGCTTACTCCAAACTTTACGCTAAGGTCCTAGCGATGTTCAAGACGATTGAGGAGGGATCGTTCAATCCAGATTTGCCACCGGCCCGCCGGGTGGAGCACCTCGCCGAGGCCATCATGGTAGGGAGCTCGCAGGCGTCCAACTTGGGGCAGCACGCCCCAGCCGGGGAGGATAGTGCCTCCTCCGACGATTCCGACGCGGGGATCCCAGAAGGTCACGGCGGGCGGCAGGCCGCAGACTTGGTTCGGGGGGCGTTCCCGGATCAGTTCCTTCAGGACATCGTGGTGCACAGGTTCTCGGGCATATCGCATGTTGTTAAGGACTCCGGCATGCTTTGGTGCCATCGGCCTGTAAGTTCGAACTACACGCCACTGTCCGAAGCCGGCGTTGCTGCTGAGTTCCCTACTGCATGCCATCAGTGCTCGAGAGCCCTGGGCCTGGTAGGTGACTAGATCTATAAACCCGTTGCGGCGGAACTGCGAAAAGAATTGCCTGTGTCGTGTCTGTCATGCTCTCTTTGACTCTCTTGTAAGTGCATGGGCGTAGTCTTCCTGAGGGGGACGACCCAAACGATGCGCTACCTTTGGAGCCGGGACAGCGAGCGTTGGCATGTCGCTTGCCGCTTGTTGCCCGTAGGCTCAGGAATCGCGAGTCAAGCTGGAGAGTTAGCGACGGTCATGCATGGGTCCATGTCACACTTGATGCTGGGATAGGATGCAGGCTGACACTCTTAACACATTGCTGCTTACATCGTTAGCATCCAGCGCTGATCATGGCTTCAGGTCTCGACTCTTCTGCTTACTTCCTCGAGCGGCTCGCGAAGGTTGGCTTGTCAAACGAGCTGAGGGACGCGCTGGCCCGAGCCGGGTACACGACCTTTGGGGCTCTTGCCTTTGCGGTCTCCTCGACCCCGGGTGCAGCTAGCGATGAGGCCGTCTCCCGGTGGGCGCAGCACCTTGCAGATCCGCTACCGAGTGAGCACCAAATGTCAGTGTTGCGCCGCTTGCTCTTCGAAGCGCAGTCAATGTCGATTGCCGAGATGCGTGACCGGGTAAATCAGGCGCCAGGCGAGGCTCCCACTCGCAAGCTGCCAATGATAGAGCGGGCTGAAAGGCTCAAAGCCCTGCGTCGAAAGCTGCCTGGACTTATCTTGACCCCGGACACTCTGCCAGCAAACCGCTTAGTGGATAACTACGTTGACCAGCTTGATTCGGGTGTGCTCAGCTACGTCAAGCCAGACGCGTGCATCAGCCGAGCACAGGAGATGGATTCCAACAAGAGGGATCCGACCTTGCAGGTACAGGGAAATGAGCTGAAGCTTGCCGCCAAGCAAGTGGAGCTGAGGTGCTCCATCAGCACTGACATGCAGTTGAGGCAAGCTTGGACTCGGAGGTCTCTTGCAATGGAGCTTGCGCAGCTGGCCTCTTACACCGTGCTAGAAACCTGGGTTCAAAGCCTGTTCTCGAGGATGCAGCGGGAGCCTCCTGCGGGGTATCACTCAGTCTCGCTCTCTCAGGTTATGGCTGCAGACCGGGAGCTGTTTCAGCTGTTGTCGCACAACCTTATGGGGCAGATCCAGGCGTCGGCTGGCGCTGCTCGACCCCTAGATCTGGAGATCGAAAGCTTAAGCAAGAGCACTGACGTGCTTGTGCACTTGCTGCCGCTTGTGAAGCCTCCTCCGATGCCTCACCCGACAAAGCGACCTCATCCCGATCCTAAGCTCCCGCATAAGACTCCGAAGGGGAAAGGCAAGGGTAAGACCGCTGATCAAAACCAGGATGATGGGAAGGCGCCTAAGTACACATTGCCCGATGGATGTGTTCCCAAGAGCGAGGACGGCAAACCCTGGTGTTTCCTGTGGAATCAGGGCCGATGCAAGTTCAAGAATCCAAAGAAGGGCCGATGCCCTCGGGGCTACCACGGGTGCTATTACCGAGGGTGTGGCAGGCCAGTGCCATTCATCGAGTGCACTCACACCGATCCCGCCTGAATGGCGGGGGCCCCCGCGGGTCCTGAGCATGAGACCATGCCCGAGGGGGCCGCGTCTCCCAATCCAATTTTGGCTGAGGGCCTCAGTGGCCCCGAAACACAGGATGCCGAGAGCTTCGCGCTGAACCTCCTGGCGAAGGCCGAGATCCCTGCATCTTCTGTGGCTCAATTGTCATTCCTTTTGCCATGCGATTTCAGTGTTCGGCCGTCAAGCGGCCCCAATGCCTTCCTTTTCAGCTGTGGTGCTTATGTCCACGGGGGTGTCACGGGTACTTTTGCTAATACTCGAACCCTGCCTGCATGCACCCAGCTCCTTGCGCGTTTTGCAAAGCAGTTCGTCGGGGACTCTTTTCCATTTACATCCCTTGTGCTCCTCCGGGACAACCTCACTCGCATGCATCGTGATCGTAATAATACCGGCCTTAGCGCGTTGATCCGATGCTCAGATTTTGAGGGTGGAGGTCTATGGGTTGCCGACCCCAAGGGCTCCTCGCCCATGCATTTCGAAGGCAAGGTGCATCAGGGCTCCACTCGGGAGCTTGACCGCTGCCTGTACTTTGATCCGCGTCACCTGCATTGCACCTTACCATGGTCCGAGGGTCCTCGAATTGTCCTTGCAGCCTACTCAGTTCGAGATGCTTGTAAACTCCCACAGGCCGATGCTGACTTGCTGCTCAAGCTTGGATTCGTTCGGGGCCCGGGCAAAGTTGAAGTGCCTTCGACTGTGGACTTGCAGCCCAATACCCAGGCTTCCCCTAGTGGTTTAGGCCCTGCTTGCAGTCTCCCTTTGGGTGTTGGCGAGCCAACTTCTACGAGCCCAGCAAAGCTGGATCCGCCTGCCCAGCGACCCTTGTTCATCGAGCTCTTCGCTGGATCCGCAGGCCTGTCTCGGGCCATGCTCGACTTTGGGTTCGAAGTCGTTACCTTCGATCATTACGTCAACCACCCTAAGGCCCCGGTCTGTAAGCTGGATTTGGCCACTGCCTCTGGTCAATCGGTTGTCTGGGATCTTCTTCAAGCCCGAGTGCCCTTTGCCGTACATCTCGCGCCTCCGATTCTTGCTGGCCATGAGGCCCTTTTGGAGTTCTGTTGTGACATCGTCGGCTGGTGCACCCAACATGATGTCGTCGTGTCCCTTGAACAGCCTGACCGAAGTGAAAGCTGGGCCCTGCTCACGTCGATGGCTCGATCGCGTCTCCCAGCCGCGAGCCTGTCCAAATGGGCTGGCCTCCAGAAGATCGTGTACCCCCTCTGTATGCACGGGGGGTCGAGCCGGGCCCTGTCTCGTCTCCTTTGTACGGCTCGGGTTTTTGACACTCTGGCTGTTGCTTGCGACGGCAAGCATTGGCATGGTCCGCGCCCCGGACCTTGGGCTGCGCCTGCAGCCTACCCGCCGGTCCTCTGCCATCGCCTAGCCGGCTGCCTGCTCCAGTGTGCCAAGGCTCGGAATACTGCCCCGGGGCCGCTCTCCCGAACTAAAGAGGCCTCGACTGCTGCAGTGGGCCGCCAAACAAAGCGCCATGCCCCTTTAGTGCCCGAGTACCGCGCCTTTAGGGTAGTCCCGTCGGGTTCTAAGCTTCAGCCCTCCGAGCGCATCCTCTCTGCCACGTGCGCGGGGGGATCAACCGAGGATGGACCCGAAATCTCGGGGAAGCAGTGGAAACTGGGGATATTGCACTCCCCCCCTGAGTTTCTGAATAAGGCCTTAAACTGCCCTCACCCCTTCGATGCCGCCAGACCGTTGTCTAAACACTTTCTGCATGCCCTTGAAGCTGTGATGACGACACCCCCTAAGGTCTTAGAGCTCAAGAGGAAATTGGCGATTGCTAAGGCTGAAATTCTTGTCAAAAAGCTCAGCTGCTCTGAGAAGGCTAGGCACAATGCCCTACCGGATCATATGAAGAAGGTGCTTGAAAGCAAGAATCTTTCTCTCTTCGAGGCGCTCCTCAAGGAACATGCTTACTGGGACATGGGGGTAGTCCAGCTCATGGAACAGGGAGTGGACCTTGTTGGGTTTCAGGACACCCCTTCTTGCTATCCCCAAAAGATTGCTCCTGCCACCATGTCGAGGGACGAGTTCCTTGACTCCGCCGAATGGAGGCGGCGGGCTCTCACAACACCCGGCGCCAGGGCTCCGGATGCAGGGCAGCTCGCCCACCTTGAGCAGACATGCAAGGAAGAGGTAGACCTTGGGTTCATGCTGGGACCCTACACGGAGGATCAAGTGTCCCGGCTGTTCGGCCACACTCGCTGGTCGTGCATCCGGCGGTTCGTCTTGGAGCAGAAGCCAGGGAAACTTCGGCCCATAGATGACGCAAAGGAAGCCCTTGTGAACAGCGCCAGCACCTCAACGATGCGACTCGAGCTCGAGGACGCCGACTACCTGTCTGCTATGGCTCTCGAGGTTGCCCGACGCATCCTGGCAGACCCTTCCAAACCCGGTGCGGTGCCATGGGTAGCCAGGTGTCTTGACTTGACGAAAGCCTACAAACAGATGTGTGTTTCGGAGCGTGACCTGCCGGTCTCGGTGGTCTTCTTTCTTGATGGACAGGGCAAGCCCAGGTACTACGTGAGCCACTCGCTGTTATTCGGGTGCACATCGTCAGTATTTGCATTCAACAGGGTGTCCAAAGCAATCTCCTTCCTGTTGAACCAAATGTTGCTTGTGCCAAGCTCCGTGTTCTACGACGACTTTCCTCTTCTGTCACCGAACAACACAAGTGACAGAGCAACGTGGGCCACAACCGCACTGCTTGATCTTCTGGGCTGGGGTCACGCCCGCGTGGGCAAGGACGCTAAAGGCGTTCCATTTGCGGCAAGCTTCGAGGTCCTTGGGATGTCGATGCAACTTGATGGTGTTCACCGTGGACGCCTGACCCTTCAGAACAAAGCCGGACGTATCGAGCAGCTCGTGGCCTTGTTTCAGGGATTTCTTGACAGGGGTGCCATCACGGTGCACGAGGCACAAGTCGCCCACGGACTCTTGAACTTCTCTGCAGGCTATGTGAATGGTCGGGCCTTACGCTTAACATGCCAGGAGCTCCTTCGCTTGACAAAGGCTTCGAGCCCCGCCTCTTCGAAGGCGATCCGCAGCTTCTGCGTCAACAGCATTGAAGCCCTCCGTGCACTTAGCCCTCGCGTGCTCAGTGTGTGGGACAGCCGTGCCCCGATACACATCTTCACGGACGGTGCGTGGGAGCAGCGCCGAGCCGGAATCGGTGCCGTCATCTTTGACACAGCTTCCGGCAAGTCGTGGACTTATGAGGGTCTCGTCCCAGAGCCGCTCATCCTCCGATGGGAGGCCGAGGTCGGGACTCAGCTCATTTGCCAGATCGAGTTGTACGCGGTGGTATGCCTGAGGTGGGCCCTGGCTTCCACCTTTGACCACAGGCGCTTGATTTGGTGGATCGATAACGAATCGGCACGATATGGTCTGATCAAAGGCATTTCGGATAGTCCTTCGATGTCATCCTTGATTCAGTCTTTTGCGATTGCAGACTCCAAGGCACCATCGTACAGTTGGTACGAAAGGGTCCCATCTTTCTCTAACATCGCAGATGGCCCGAGCAGGGGTGATTCATCAGAGGCCCTGGCCGTCTGCACCGACAAGGTGGGAAACGACTACCCGCTTGACCAAAGCCTCACCCGGAGGCTCTTGTCTTCTTGATGCGTCGCTCACCAGCTCCTGCACTCGGGGCACCTAGCCATTCGACGGGGGGATGTTGTGCCCCGTAGATCTCGTAGGCCTTGTGCCGAGGTCGGGGCAAACCGGGATCGTTTCACGAATTCCCCCGATCGGCTATGCAGCCAAAAAGTGTCCGTGCGAGTGCGATTGAACTTCACGAGTCCGTTGCAACATATGTTATGACTTGCGGACCTTTTTATATTATATATGATTGGAATCGAAGCTTTTCCGTTTCATATGCATCCTGGAAAGCTCCACATCATGTTTGAAATATTCTAGATTTTTGAGCTGCCCCAGTTTTGTATAATTAGAAGAACCGCTCCGACTTGTCGGTAGCGCTTTCTAAGTAGACAGAACTGTAGGCTCGCAGAGCGAGCCGGGGCGGGTCCAGTATCGTGTACAGTCTTGCGGTATGTGGTAGTTTCACTCAAAGCAGAATTTTTACATGTGATTTTCACGGTGAATTTTTCATGAATGTTTTTCCTGGCATTTTCGGCATGCGAGATTCACTTTGTGATTTGATCTCAATCAGCATGGCCGCGCTCGCCCTCTCAAGCAACAGAAGGGCGGGGCCCAACATTCATGAAATTTTTGAACCCACCCACCCTCCCTGGGGGGGGATGTTGTGCCCCGTAGATCTCGTAGGCCTTGTGCCGAGGTCGGGGCAAACCGGGATCGTTTCACGAATTCCCCCGATCGGCTATGCAGCCAAAAAGTGTCCGTGCGAGTGCGATTGAACTTCACGAGTCCGTTGCAACATATGTTATGACTTGCGGACCTTTTTATATTATATATGATTGGAATCGAAGCTTTTCCGTTTCATATGCATCCTGGAAAGCTCCACATCATGTTTGAAATATTCTAGATTTTTGAGCTGCCCCAGTTTTGTATAATTAGAAAACAAAGGCCTGCCAGGACCCTCTGCCGCGCATGTGTTGCGGCAAGATGCCAACCTCAGTATGAAGTCGGCCAGGCTCCTTAGCGAAGATAGAAAACCCTCCCTGGGCATCAGTGGAAGGCTCCGTAACGAATATGACGCCCACCGACTCACGCGTGCGCCTGCAGCAGGGGCTGCCCTGGGCAGGCACAGTGGGTGCGAAGGACCATACCGTATCGTCAAGGGCCGGCATTCCCACACCAGAGGATGCCTGTAAATCCTGCGTATCAAGGCACAGATCCTGCAGGTCAGCGACCTCAAACAACGCCGTCGGGGCCGCATCGTGATCCGACAGGATGATTTGCCTGGGAGCAGGACCTTGAGCACCCATAGCGCGTAGACCTTGCCCCACCAGACCACCGCCCTATGCAAGCCAGTGGTTTGCTGTAGTGGAAAGAAGACACAGGCGTGCCGTTCATTGTGCCTACCAATCCAGCAGCATCGGTTAAGAATATGGGGCAAAGTGTGGCGTGTATGGTCATACTCCTCCAGCGAGTCCGTGTCCGTGAAGAGCCACAAGGTGTGGCATTGTACGACAGCGGGATCTGTGCAGAGCCATACAGCATACCGTGTGAGCGAGCCCAGATTGACCGGCACGGTGGGCTCATACTCTCGTGGGATTGCTGGAATTTGGGCGAAGGGGAGCAGGCCCTCGCTGATCGGCAGGTCCTGGAAGCCGTAGATCGAGTCAACGGCATCGCTGCTATCCTCGACCGGGGCACGTCGCGTGCCACCCGACCGAACACTCAGTCGGCTGACCAGAAGGCCCACAAAGCTGCGCCCTAATCTGCTATCGTGCGAGCAAACGAGCACTGGTAAGCTGCCACACAGAGCCATAAAGTCGAAGGCTTCCGCAATCGTCACAAGGTAACCCGCAATGGAAAAAGGGGAGTCGTCCGTTTGTATGGGGTCACCGCTTTGCATGAAGCGCCAGGTGGTGAAGTCGGGCACATCCGTGAGGCCAGGAAGCACCTGCACCAACAGGTATCCCTCATACATTTGAAGGTGTAAGTGCTCCATACCCGATATCGCATGCTGAATGGAAGCCAAAGCCAGAGATATGGGCCGATGGATTTCGGTACCCACGCCGCTGGCCACGGGGTGCGTGGAGAACAATTGGCCTCCCCGGAGGCCCTAGCCTCCATGGCTGACAGGATGGAGCCGAGTCCCGCCTTCCCTGACCCGGGGCTTCCCGATGACGAGGCAACAGACTCGCCGACTCCCTCCCCTCGCCAGTTGGCTCGAGGTTCAGAGGCCCCCTCACGTCCAGATCTTCTCAAACGATTTTTTGAGGTGTTTTGCATGTGGAGTGGCGGCCTCGAACCAACAACTCATGGAGTCACACGCGATGACCTCTAGGCATGTTTGGCTCACCACGGCATTCGTTGCCAAACGCCGCCGTGATATGGCGGCCGCCGAAGCTGAAGCTGCCAAAGCCAAGGGGCCCCAGCCCTAACTGGCCAGAGCTTGCCCTCAAGCTTCTGAGGTCTGAACCTGAGGCAGTCAGCCTGGGCCCGGTAGGAACCCGCCTGTACAGTCTTTGGTAGGGCCTTCCCCTCGTCTGAAAAAGATTGAGGTTTGGCGGGCGTAGCTAGCCAACCCCTTCTAGGACGTAGGGCCGCCCTCGCCCAAAGAGGCTGAGGTTCTTCTTACTTGCATGCGAATTCATTTTCTGACTCGTCTCGGACGGCTCGCAGCCCGGCGAATGAAAAGTTGTGCCTCTGAGCTGCCTGTTGAGTGGTGGAGCCGCTCAGTGTGATGGGCTGCGATATGTATATCATTGATTTCAGTTTGGAGTGCAAGCCAATTTTCCTGCGATTCCTGGAATTTTCTGAGGTGCAATGGTTATCTGGGTATATTCTGCATGGTTTTGGTTTTGCAGAGGTTTTCTCAAAGCACTGGAAAGTTCTCACTGGGAGCTGCGGTTTTCATGGCATGGAACCTTGGTTTTCAGCTGCGAGAACAGTTTTCGACATGTGGCATGAGTTGCTTGAGCTTTTGAGTGAGCTGAGTGAAAGCTGTGAGCCGTTAGAATGGTTAGAGTCCGCATGAGTTCTCGAAGGCCTCAAGGTACCTTCTCGAACAGCAGTAGTGTATGCGTATGCGAGTTTGTTTGCCAGCGTGGAGCTTGTAGAGAAGCTGTGACGGCATGCTTTTGAAGGGAAGTTTTGTTTTGGACATGTGCTGAAGCACATGTGAATCCAGAGTGCCGCGCTTTATGTGTGGCTCAAGGCTGGAAAGCTTTGAGACTGAAGCTCGTTGAAAGATTGAGCCGATGATGAAACATGTTCTGAGGCTCAATAAAGCAAAGCTTTAGGTGACAGCAGTGCAGTGCAAGAACAGCTGAACACTTCGTTTGTTGCGCGAGCAAAAGTCTGTGCAGACCTTGACGGGTTGTTCAGGGTTTGAAAGTTTTACATCTTTGGTGAGGAAAGGCCAGGTGCGTCTGACCTCCTCCATGCTCCAGGCTTCGGCAAACCACGCCATGCTTTGCTTGGTGGTGATCCATCCCCCTATGCCGACCCTTCGGCCATGGCGTCTGCGCGGGCAAGGCAAGGCACAAGCGGCGGAAGGGACAGGCTAGTGGGTGGGATGGCTTACGGCAGGAGCCAGCGAAGACTGTCTTGAGCAGCGGTAGGTCGGCTTTGCAATGCACGGGTCGACTGCCGACCTCTATGATGCGGGCTTTGAGGGGCAGATCGTATGAGTCTGCATATGACTGCCCTCAAGTCAAGGCTGTGTCCACATCCGCGGTGAGATGGAGCAGTTCCTGCCTGGTGGGCTGTTCAGAATGCTGTAGAGCGGGGCGACGTGAGAGCGGAGAACCTTGCTGATTGCTGTTGCCCACATGAGAATGCCAATGCAAGCCTCAATCCTGTTACATTCTTTGAACACTTGCAGAAGATATGGCTTTATCGTTTGAAGAAAAACAACATGACAAAATGGCTCAGAGAACTGAGTCCAATTTTGATTTGTTGTTTTAGGGCTTTTCCTTTACACTGCCTTTTTATGAATTCTCATTTATACATGCTGTAAACAAGTTGAAGAACACATTCGTCCGTTGCAGCTTGACCTCTCGAAGGGGCAGGAAGCCCTTGAATCGGGCGAGAGTTTTATTTGAAATAGGGGGGCGGGCCGGATGCTTGTGCCTCAGTCTCTCGCTGGGAGGTCTTGATGAAGTGAATCTTCTGCTTGAGTGCGACTTGAGCTTTGAGCCTACAGTATCCTGCTCAACTTGCAGAGTGATTTCGCGGTTGCCTACTTAGTTGGAGCTTTGTTGATTCTTTCGTGTGTGATTTTCACACTGGCTTGTGGTTCAGGAGCATGCAATCCCCTGAAGTGACCGGTGAAGAAGCAGAGGTGCCGACGCCCTCGGATTCGTTTACATCCACTGAGAGCTTTGTGTTACGTCACATGCGTGGATTACAGATTCAGATCTGTCGGCTGCATAGAATGCAGCTCATGATTGCTGACCGCCTTTTCAATCGCGTGTCGCGGTTGGAGTCTCAGCAGATGCTTGTTTCTTGCTTTCTTCATTGGAAGTTTTGGGCTGGCCGCAATTCTGATCCGGAGCACGCTCCTCGAGGATTGCTGGAACCTCAGCTCCCGTCGTGAGACTTTGTGTTGCCTGCCTCTTGCTCAGAGGAAGAGAAAGGCGGGCGAGGCAAACTTGCCCTGGGATACGCCTCCGAGATATATCTTCAGGATGCAGGTGGTCGTTACTGACCGCCTCACCAGCTATAAGCCCATCACGCTCGATCTTCAGTTGAGTTGCAAAGATATTATCGATCAGGCAAAGTATTTCGTATCACAACGTTTTTTCGAGCTTGTTGGCAGCTTCCCTAAATTGAGCTCGTTTCGATTGATCCAGGATGGCAGGCACCTGAGTTTTTCAGCTCCAGTGCTAGTGGCCAGCACATTGTCACCTGTGAGCTTCGTTCGCACTGCATAAAAGCTTGAGTTGAGTGTAGGTTTCTGCTGCAGGAACTTACTGATTTCACGTGGTGCTGAGTTGAGGATTGCTTTCTGCATCGTTTGTCGTGCACTTGTGTAGCCGTCTGCTTCTCAGACTGATTTGCAATGTCGGTCGTCACAGGGCCGGCTGATGAGGACGACAGGTCTTGGTCTTCGTGGAGCTCGGCTTTTGAGCCGTTGAGTCCGACACCTCCTCCTAAATCTGGGAAGAAGGTTAAGAAGACGAAGAAGAAGAAGAAAAAGAAGTCTTCCCGTAGGCATAGCAAGGCGAGACAGCAGAGCCTTGCATCGGGCTCGGATAGCTCTGCCATCGAGGCTAAGGCTGAGGTCTCGCGAGAGTTGGATTCGCGGAAGCCGACGATCTCCGGAGCTTCTTCATCTGGGGAGCTCGCTCCGTCTTTTGCTGCTGCTGCTACGTCTGCTGAGGTCTCCCACGACATTGACTTGCAATCTGCAGGCACATACACGGTGGAGGCTCACACAGCGGCGGTTATGCACCATGCCAGGATCAGTCGTGGCAACCCTAGGGCAGCAGCTAAAATGTTGGTGAGAGCCCAGCTTAGATGCAGCTGTCATTTTGCGTATCTTCATGAATGTGCTGCTCGGGCGGATCGGAGACCGCCGAGTTGAGGAGTGCTTTTTCGATCTTTGCCGGCCTTGTTGCCGGTCTCTGTGTACTTTTCATCCTTAGGATTCTGTGAACGGAGCATTCTCTTCCAGTGCTGTGGAGCCAGAAAGGGCTGTGTTGATGGAGCGAGGTGTTAGGTGGAGTGATTTTGTCCTCCTTTGCTGCGGTGCTTAGGTCTCCACGGCTGAGCGTTGGGACAGCGCCTCGGTCTTGGGAAGAAAACTGGCGCAAGAGCGCATGTTTGGTGAGTGTGTGCGCCAGAGGTTGCGTACTAACGATCAATCGAAGCATTTATTGCATGAGCTATTCGGTTGCCGTTTGACATCGGCCCCCAAAAAAAAAAAAGAAGATCGGAGAAGCAAGCAAGGCAGGAGCCTGGTGCTGGGCGTCTGACAAGGCGCCGAAGCGCTTGACAGAGTCTCAGAGGGCTGGAGCCCGGTTTCAGCTACGTGCTGAGTGTGTGCCCAGGGATGTTTCCTTGGCAAATGGGACCGATGGGGCCGATGATGCCCTCTTTCGGCGGTGAGAGGCGTCGGCGCCGTCGGCGCTCTCCATCGAGTAGTTCTGAGCGCTCGAGGAGCAGAAACCGTGATCGCAGACGCGACCGGGAATCCCGATCGAGGGGAGCGCAAGCTGTTGCGCCTTTTCCCCCGCCGGTACCTCAGCTGCCGGCTGCAGCGCCGGGATATGAATGGAGGCAAGTACCAGTGATGCCGGTGCAGCCACCTTTGCCGCCTCCCTCGACCCCTGCCCCTATTGCCCCGGTGCAGTCTACGTGGAATCGCCAGCCTTGGCGCGGAGGGGGCCAGCAGAAGCAGCAGGGCCAATGGGGCCAGCGCTGGAATAAGTGGCATCGGTCCAGTCAGGGATCGAATGAGCCCCGAGGGTCAGGCCACCAGTCTTCTTGGACGGACCCAGACCATCACAACATTCAGGAGGCCACTCCTTCTGAAGTGGCCGCGGCCGACGCCCGTAAGTCCACCAAAGAGGCTGATAAGGATGAGGCAGACGACGAAGAGTCGTACCTTGCAGCCCTGTGGAAGTCGGCGCAAGATGAAGCGCGTGCAGACCCCACTCGCCCATTGTCAGCCCGCAGAGCAGGGAAAACTGCAGTGGTGGTGGAAGATGCCTTGGAAGACCATCGCCGAGAAGTTTCCTGACACGCATGGCTACAAGGAGTTTTTGGAAGGACTTGAAGGTCCGATCCCGACCTCTGTGATTTCCCGCGTGGTCACGGTCCTTGCTGCCTTTCGGTCTTATGGCCGCCCCCTTGAGGGGGACAATCCAGTGGCGGGCGTCGTCGGACCCGATGCTCACATTTTTCGAGTGCCTGGGCAACGGATTTTGATCCTATCTTGCGAGCTGCGCGGGCCAAGCTATATCCGCAATCCGAACTCGGCCCATTCGGCTATCATGGCTCATGGTACCTCCTTCCCCTCTTTAGTCGGCGTGGCAGAGATAGGGGAGATCGCGGTGAACGATTTCCGCGATCAGGGAACTCCCTGCTTCGGCTTTTCGGCACGGGGTTCATTGGTCACCTTGTCGCGTGATGCACTGGAAAGTGCAGCGACAAAATGCGCGAGTCGGGCTAAAGCCCTGGGCGGGGCGATTGTCCTCGTAGAGTGCGAGTTGCCACGGAGCACCCCCGCTGTGGAGGAGGGGAATGACATGATGCAGATCTGTTGCCGGGACGCTGGATCGGTCAGGTCGGGGGATCACTTTTTGATCTCCCCGAAACACGCGATTATGAGAGGAATCGCAGTAGGGTGGCCGTGCTAAGCGGCCTTTTCCCTGCAGCTGTGAGCATTGTTGTTATCGTCAGCTACTACTGATGTTCTGCTGAGTCATATCTTGGCGATTTATAGTTGGCTAGTCTGGTTTTTGCTGGCATTGCTCACACCAGAGGTGGTGGATACTCTTCCTATGAACCACGAGGAAGTGGCTGATCGTCGGGATTCGCGACATGAAAAGTTGTGCCATTTGCCCCGCATTAGACGGGTTAGACCTGAGTGGTCTTCGCTACGCTTCGTGTGTGCTGCGAGGGGAGATTACCAGCAGAAGTATTGTCTTTGTTGGCAACTTGTTGTTCACGTATTGTCGGTTCAAGTTTTGACCAATGTGGTGGGGCGTAGTTCCTGCCAGGGTTTCTTGTGATGTCTGGCCACGACCCCAGAGCGAGTGAGAATGAAGTGTTCATGCGAAGCATCACTCATGGTCGGTCGTCGCTGCCTCGGCAGCCTTGGGAACAGCCGGCTATGCTGTGCATCTTCGATCCATTGAAGGCGGCTTTCCCTCAGGGCTTGAACTTACCTTATCAGGGAGTGGCCCCGGCTTCGTCTACTCCTCAGACGGCAGCACAACCTTCAGATTCCGGGAATCCGGTGCCGAGTGGATCTCATTGTCAGGCCTGGACTCGTGCAGTCAAGGCAAAACGAGGGCCTAGAGCCGCAGATCGTCGTGATGAGGCGTACCGCCGGGTCCTCACATTACTTCATGCCTTTTCGAGTTTCTTCGACCTGTGTACTCTGATGGCAGATGACGAGGAGGACGGCCCGGATTCTGTCCAGGCCGTTTTGGCAGGGAAATCACCGAACACCATCTTGAAGCATTTGGGTCCGGTTAGGACTTTTTGCGAGTGGCTTTTGAAAGCAAGTCAGACTCCGCCTTTTGCGGAAAAAGTTCTGTGGTCTTTCATTCATTGTGTCCTCAAGATGCCCAAGACCGCGGCCACCACACTGGACAGTAGTCTACGTGCTATCAAGTGGAGTTATTATACCTTGGGACTACGTGTTCAACTAGAGGTCTTCAGCAGCCCTCGAATTCATGGTGTGGTGAAGAAGGCGCTACAGACTAAAAACCCGTGGTGCCCGGCGTCACCCCTCAAGGTGTCCGAAGTTCTCCAACTGCATACGATCTGTTGTGATCCTTCTATTTCTGTCATTGATAGATGCGGGGCGGCGCATTTCCTTGCCATGCTCTACGCAAGGGCACGGGCATCGGACATCCGATGTGTCAAACGTATTTTGATAGATGTACACAATGAGGACTGGAGTTCCGGTTTCATTGAGTTAGGGACGCTGGAGCACAAGACGTCTAGGCTGGACACTCAGCGACGTCGTATATTGCCTCTGGTGATTCCTGGCCAGGGTATTGCCAAAACCCCTTTTGGTCAGCTCCTCCTGGACATTAGGGCTGAGGCCGGCTTGCCGAATGATCAGGCCGATGTTCCATTTTTGCCGGCGCCTCTGCCGGATGGATCGTGGTCCTCTGACCCGCTGTCTAGTAGCGAAATTACCAGGTGGCTGAGGTATTTATTGCCACGTCCATCGACGGAACAGGCCGTGAGTTCGCACTCGTTGAAGGTTACCTCACTTGTTTGGTGTAGCAAATTTGGGATGCTCCGCGAAACTAAGCGAGTTCTAGGCCATCACTCGGATGCTGCGACTGGTAGCGATGCAGTTTATGGACGTGAGTTACAGAGTGCGGCACTGCGTGAGTATGTTGTCGTGCTGGATGCAGTCGCGACGGGTAAATTTTTGCCAGACCAGACTCGCTCGGGTCATTTCGCATCAGGTTGGACTCGGGAATCTATCCTGCAGGCAGCTGCTTTTCCACAGGACTCGGAAGTCCTGGAGGAGGCTGTGGAAGATGATCAGGATGAGGCTTTGGCTGTGGTTTCTGATGTTTCAGACTCTGATGAAGAAGCCCCGGAGGAACAATCCTTCTGGGCCCATCCGACTAGCCAGGTTCTACATCGCACGACTTTGGGGTCGGCAATGTTTTTGTGTGGCAGAGCTTTTGGCGATCATTATCGGCGCATTCCTATGGCTAGGGCACAAGCGCACCCTCAATGTTCCAAGTGTTTTCCACGGAGCGCAGTTTGATTTGGCCTGATCGAAAAGCAAATAGTTGCCCTATTTTAGTGCTCGGTGTGCATTGTGAGAGCTTCGTCTTTGATAGCTTTTTCGGTTGCCAGGTATTTAGCCATGACGAGTTCCGTAGATTCGGCGCCTTTCTTTGTGCAGCGAGCAGATGAAATCTCGCTCGCCAAGCGAGTAGTGGATGCCTTGAAAGGTAAAGGGGTGTCTACTTTGGCCCAGCTGGCCTTCTGTGTCGGACAACCGGGACAGGTGCTATCTCAGACTGAGTTTGACACGTGGAGCGAGGCCTTGTTGGTAGGCATCACAGTGGGCGAGAAGGCGTCTTTAAGGCGCCTGATCTTGGAAGCTCAGACCATGCTAGTGGCTTCTTTGAAGGATTTGGCAGAACCGGCTGAACACGCTTCCCCTAAAAAGGTGGGGGTAGCCGAGCGAAATGCTCGCATGGACCAGCTCCGGACTCAGCTCGCCGGGGTTTCGCTTACTGGACAACTCGAGCCGAGTCATGCATTACTTGACATGGCCGTTCAGCAGTGGGAGAGTCGGTGCCTGAAGTACATCGGTCCAGAAAAGTGTCATAGCCGTGAGGATGAGGTTCAGAACGTCAAGCCTTTGACCACCAGTCTGTCCTTGGAAGGCGGTAAGTTGAAGGTTACGGAGGCTGCTGGTATGGATGATCGCGATATTGAGGGCTCTTTGCAAGTCCTTAATGCCTTGCGCCGCAGAGGAGTGGCTTATGCGTTTGCTCGCTTGATCAGTTGGGAAAGACATGAAGCTTATGTGTCGTCTCTGTTCAGGTATTTGACCAAGCCTGCTCAGCCTGGTTACAGGAAGGTGTCTCTTCGTCAGATCTTGCGGGCTGATAAGCTTGCCTTTTCCAAGTTGTCCGAGGCAGGTGAGGACATCCGAGCAGATGCTTCTGGCATTCTTCCGCTCGATTCAGCGATCGGGGCTATTCTTCACGATTACGACCTAATTGTTGCTCTTTTGCCTATGGGGGATTTGGATGGTAAGGGCAAGAATGCTAATGGTCGTGTCGGGCGCCCGGGTCCTTACGGTGATGCTGCGCCCTGGAAGGGGAAGAATGGCAAAGGTAAGGGCGGTTGGACCTCTAAAGGCTCTGATTATTGGACAGGGAAAGGCAAGAACACCTGGCAAGCTAAGGGCAAGTCGCCTAAGGGCAAAGGCTCGGGGGCCGGTAAGCCGGAATGGTTACCTGAGGGACTTCGCTTCCAGGGAGCCTCTGCATGGAATCATAAAGGCAACAAGGTCTGTTACGGCTTCAACCTTGGCACTTGCTCGGATGCAAACTGCCAGAAGGGCGACCATACTTGCTGCATCTTCAAATGCGGCGGGGACCACCCGGTGGGTAAGTGTCCTTTGAAGCCTAAGAAGCTGTGACTAGCGGATCCCCCGCCTCGCCCTGTCGCTTTGGCGTTGGACGTGGAGATGGCATCTTCGGACGAACCCGTTTCAGGTGGTATCTCTGTAGCTGATGTCGCGACCCCGGCTTCGCTACCTTCTGGAGTAGGAGTGGACCCTGCTTCTAAGATGGTGGATGTCGACGATTCTCCGATTTTGGTAGAACCTACAGTTTTGGATCCTCCTACGATGCCGAGTGCTTCGTCTGAGTCGTTTTCCTTGGAGCACGCAGGGAGCGAGGGGGCGCTCCCCTCAACTCTCGTGGCATCGCAGGACAATTCTCCGGCCCCTCAGAGCCAGGAGCCAATCAGGGCCATTCTGCAGTGTTTTGCAGGCCAAGCTCGTGTGGCTTCAGCTTTGATTAAGCAGGGCTATTTTTCCCGCTTCAAGCAGAAAGCGGCTATGGCCCCAGTGCTTCAGATGGACTTGTCGACGAGGGAGACTTGTGACTCTGTCCTAACATGGCTTGACAAAGGCAAGATTGCGGGTGTTATGATATGTATTCCTAAACATGCCTCGGAACCTGTCACTACAGCTTTCATTCTGGCAGTGATGGCGGGCTGCTTAAGCAACAACCTGCCCTTGATTCTTGAGGGTTCGGTGTCCTCACCATTTTGGGAGAGCTTGCAGCGCTTACCGTCAGAACAGCACCCTCCACACCAGGTGGAGGTAGATTGGCGATTTTGGGACTCCCACAGCAAAAAGCGCAGCCTCGTGTTGTCTAATATGCCAGAAGTCCTCACTGTGCGCAGGGAGGCGGCACCTGTGGGAGATAAGGTGCAACAGCGCTCGGAGGCGCCGACCGGATATCCGCCGGCTTTTGCCACGGCGGTAGCTGAGGTGTTCATCGCAGGTTTGACTCAGCGACAGCTACCGTGTCGCAGCCCGGCCTTGACTAATAAATCGCTGCGGGTTGCGGCCATGAATCAGCCACGTGGGGCGATGCCGGAAGTGGTGTCTGAATGGAAGTTGGTGGTTTATGTCCTTCTGCCACCGCAGGTCAAGGATCCGTTTGGCGGATCGAAACGCCTTAAACAGGACTGGAAGGTCCCACACGGCGCCCGTGTGTTGCCGGAGCTCAGGATGCTCCCGCAGGATTCCCAGCTTCTGTCGCGTACTCAGTCAGGGGGGCAATTGAGCCCGCAACTTCAGCAGGAAATGCAAAACTTGAATGGAGCCTCAGTTTTGCGAGTGGGCATCCCATGGGATCCTATCGAATTTATCGCCAAGGCAGGTAAGACTGGACACCCATACCATAAGTTATCCAAGTGCAACAAGGATCTCAGAGACCTTGTCCACGACCTAGTTCATAAACCGGGAATGGTTCGTTCTCAGAGGAAGAACTACATCGAGAAGTGGGCCAGACGAGCCAAAGAATTGGAACCAGAGGAAACCAAGCTGAAGGCTGGCATGTCGGATCACAGAAGGAAGATTCTTCAACCCAAACGTATCTTGTTGTTCGAAGAGATGCTGCAAGATATTGGGTATGATGATATGGGTGTGGTTCAGGAACTCATCGACGGAGCCACCCTGACGGGGGACATTCCTATCACTGGGGTGTTGGATACCAAGCTCAAGCCTGCTAGGTTGGACACTGAACATCTTTTGGGGATGTCTGATGAAATCAAACAGCAGATCCGGGCGAAGACTGGTTCATCGGGTGATAGGGAAATCGATCAGCTGTTGTGGGATAAGACGATGGAAGAGGTACAGAGTGGATACCTCTCGGGACCTTATGATTTCGAGTCATTGCCGAAACGGTGTTTGGTCAGCTCCCGCTTTCCGTTGCTACAAGGAGATAAGCTGCGACCTATTGACAACTACTCATCGAGTTTGATCAACGATACGGTCACAGTCTCTGAAAAGCCCATCACGCACTCTATCGACGAAATCGCTTTGTTGATAAATACACTTTCGAGTGCTGCTCGAAAGAAGAACTTGAATGCATTGTACGGGAAAACAGCGGATCTGAAGGGAGCTTACAGACAACTGGCGGTGTCTGACACGAGCTTAGATTTTTCTTACCTTGCGGTCTACGACCCGGCGGAGGAGAAGCCCAAGTTGTTCCAACAACTAGCTGTGCCTTTCGGCTCTACCAAGGCCGTGTACTTTTTTCTCAGAGTAGCAAGGGCGCTTTGGACTATCTTGGTCAAAGGGGCCAAAATCCCAACCACGAATTATTTTGACGATTTTGTTCTGCTCGCTCTTGGAGGAGATAGGAGTTCGTGTTCACACGCTTTCGATGAAGTTATGAAGCTGCTAGGTTGGAAGCTGTCAGCTGATAAAACGACGGAGTGGAACACAAGCTTCGAGGCCCTCGGCGTTCTTTTCGAGCTTGACCAGACGGGGTCCGGAGTGCTGAAGGTCAAGAACACTGAGAAACGACGCAAGGAACTCACGGGTGCGATCAAAGGTTTTCTGGACAAGGGAACCATGACTCAGAAGGAAGCTCTACAACTGCGGGGTAGGCTGCAGTTTGCTCAAGCCCAGTTTTTCGGTAGGCTGGGAAGAAGGTGCCTGACGGAGGTGACAAAGCATGCCTACACTGGCAGGTCAAAGCTTTCGTCGATGGCCAAGGAACGACTTGAAGAGTTTGGTAAGTTCCTTGACATGGCCCAACCGAGGCTAGTGGGGCAAGTTTCATGCAGGACTTTTATGATCCTTACCGATGCGGCGTTTGAAACGGAGTCAGGAACTGGAGGACTAGGAGGCGTCCTTCTCACCGGGTCAGGTTCGGCACTCTCTTTCTTCAGCGTGCCGATCTCAGAGCAGCAAGCCAAGTCTATGTCGTTGCAGGATGAGCATACCATCATATATGAACTAGAGATGTTCGGGGTCTTGATCGGTCTCAAGCTCTTGGTCGAAAAGACGGCTGCTTTCGCAGAATCATACGAACAGCCAGGCGCTGTTGCTGGGACTGGAGTGATTTGCTATATCGATAATGATGCTGCGAGACATGCATATATCGCCGGCTCTTCGAAGAAAGGGGTCGCGGGGATTCTTATCGATGAAGTCAATTTCCTGGAGTATGTCCACGGCATCCTGCCGTGGTATGCGAGAGTGGCATCACCTGCTAATCTGGCAGATGAACCATCGAGGATGAAACTTGATAGAGTCAAGAGACTAGGATTTAAAGACGAGTCTGTCGAGGCGACCAAGGCGGTGTTATCGATTGTGAAGAGAGCTTCGAATCTGCCTGCTTAACACTGCGACTCCTGGAAGTGGGGACAAAAAGAGTCTTGTGTCTCACAGGACCGACAGTTCGAAGTTTTCTGCCGTGTGCGGTACTTGCTACCCCAACGTGTGAAAATAGCGTCGAGCTTTGAACTACTTGCATGTGGCATGTGCGAGTGCAAGCATTCATCCCTGAAGGTTCAAACATGATAGGCATCAAAACACAAAGCACGATCTTCGAACGATAAGTTACATTCTTTGAACACTTGCAGAAGATATGGCTTTATCGTTTGAAGAAAAACAACATGACAAAATGGCTCAGAGAACTGAGTCCAATTTTGATTTGTTGTTTTAGGGCTTTTCCTTTACACTGCCTTTTTATGAATTCTCATTTATACATGCTGTAAACAAGTTGAAGAACACATTCGTCCGTTGCAGCTTGACCTCTCGAAGGGGCAGGAAGCCCTTGAATCGGGCGAGAGTTTTATTTGAAATACCCACCCTCTCCACCCTAATTGATTCGTGGAAAGTGCAGAGATTGCATCCGTGTTGTGCTACCTCAGGAAGCTTTGGACCTCAGTTTGAGGACACTCAGGTCTGCTTTTGCATACGACCTGGTTCGGGTCTTGGCTCTCTGCTTCGCAGTTGACTCGGTCTTGCTCGTCTTCGACTGGCAGGCCGTTCACTAAGGTTCAGTTTGTGAGCCGTGCACGGCTTGAGAGTGGCTAGTTCTCCTTTCGAAGGGGACAAAAAGAGTCTTGTGTCTCACAGGACCGACAGTTCGAAGTTTTCTGCCGTGTGCGGTACTTGCTACCCCAACGTGTGAAAATAGCGTCGAGCTTTGAACTACTTGCATGTGGCATGTGCGAGTGCAAGCATTCATCCCTGAAGGTTCAAACATGATAGGCATCAAAACACAAAGCACGATCTTCGAACGATAATCCTGGGGACTTTCTTGCGGGCAAGCAGGCCTCTAAGTTGGCCACAAAGCTTGGATCTTTTGGCCTCGCAAAGGTCTACGGTCTCAAGGCGGAAGTTGAAGTGCCAACCGCACCACACAAGGCTGTCCCCTGCCGAGGCCTTTTTCCAGCTGATGGGGGCTGCGAGGCTAGACAAAGTGGCTATGAGAAGGAAGAGAAGTTCAGGTGCAAGCGCTCGGAGTAAAAGGCTGAGAGGAGATCGTCCACGTACAGCCAGGCTTTGTGGGGCGCAAAGGCTAGCGCGTGGTGCGCTATGCGCGTGATGAGGCCACCCACGCGTTGCCACCAGTAGGCTGAGAACTTGGCCCCGAAGTGGCAGATCTGTAAAGGATTTTTTCGAACATAAACAACAGAAGGCCCTGTTCGGAGCTATGGACTTTGACTCGCTTGTGGGCTGCCTTGAAGTCTATACTGGCTGCTAAAAAGGAGCTGCGAGGATCCGAAGGCAGGAAGGTAGCTCTGACATCGTTGACCGTAGGCATGGCCACTGCTTCCGGGATGCGGCATAGAGGGTTCACTTGGCACACCGTGCTGTCAGGCGCGGGTCTCTGTTCTCTGCTTTAACCAGGCTGAGTTTCCCAACGGCTATGTCTTTAGGCCAAAGGCGTTTGGCTTCCTCCAGCCCTCCCGGCGCGGGCTGGATCCAGCCCGACGCTTCCTCGTCCGCGAGAAGGCTGCGAACTGTGTCGGGGTCGGCTTCGGCTGGCTTCCAGTTGCCTTCGCAGACCTCCAGACCAGACGAGCTAAGTGGCTGAATCTTGGCAAGCGGCCAAAGCCCCGAAGGCTGGATTTCATCGAACACCCCCGTGTGAACTCCTACCCGAAGTAGTAGGGCTGGCAGGTCTTTATCGCCGTGATGGTTTGCAACCACCCCAACCCTGAAGTTGGGGTTGCCAGAAAACCACGGCCCCGAAGTGGTGGCACCGTGTGCAGGTTCTACACAGAGGACAAGTTGGGTGAAGGAGGGGCCCGCCTCTGCGGTGTAGTCACCAAGAGGCTTCATGCCCCGGATCCCTGCCACTCACCGCTTTCCTCCAAATGACGGTGACCTCACGGCCTTGGCGTTCCTTCTCCTCGGGGAAGGATTTCTACAACCGAAGGAAGCCGTTTTGGACAATGGAAACCGGCAAGACGGAGATGGACGCAGTGCTTGCCGGTAGATTTGAATGAAATGATCGCCGCTGGGCAGACAGGTCGGCACTCAGCAAGCTGCACTTCTTGAAAGCCTTCCTGCAAATGGTGGAGCACGACTTGGGGGCCCGGAGGTTTGCCGACGTCTGGGAGCCTTTGCCTCGGCAAGAGAGAAAGGTCGCACGTCTGGTAGTGTAGTATGGCTGCGGCGTAAAACCTACACTCGACCGGCTTGGAGCCCAGCTTTCAACCATTGCTCCCGAGGAGAAAAATTCGAACCCAGGTTCAACTCAGGTTCGAACCCAGGTTCAAATCCAGGCTGAACCCAGGTTTTAAACCGTTCCCTAAGTTGTTGTTGTTGTTGTTCCCCCCCCCGGGGGCAGGGAACCCAGGTTCAAATCTGGGTTAAACCCCGGGGGGACCAGCCTCCATCTGACAAGCCAGCAACCTCGAAGCAGAACATCGTCCAAACGCAAAGATCGGCGCAGTTCCAAAGTCTGAGTTTTCAAGATGCGTCTGAGGAAGTCCTTCGAAGCTCGAAAAAAAGAGAGACTCAAAGAGCAAATCCTATTCGATGCAGGTGCATGCAATTTGTTTCGCTCGCCTTTGATGCACCACCTGCCTCAGCCTCAACGCATGTGCCAGACAGAAGCAGGTGGAACGTTCAAAATCGCTTGTGAAGGCAGAGAAACAAAGATGGTATATGAAGTTGTAGTGCATGAAGCCCTCGTTCTGCTTCCTGCACCCCAGCAGCCGTAGCCACCAGTAGAGAAAACCACACCTTAGATGAGGCCGAAGCCTAACCAGGCGTGTTTGCGCGCTGGCCACGCCAGTCACTCGGCAGCCGCAGCCACCAGCGAGAGAAAGCATACCTTAGGGAAGGCCGAAGCCTAACCAGGTGAGTCAGCATGCTGGCAACGCCAGCGAACCTCAGTTTGCAGAAGGGTGCCGCTGCTCCCAGAGCACGCGACACGTGTCTGCCAAGACTTGCAGTCTGGCAGCATTCACAGCCTTAGGCACATTGCACAGGGGCCAGCCGAAGCGAGCTTGCCACTCATTCTGTGGCCGAGGCTTGCCCACACAGTCATAGGCAACATGCTGAAAGGGAGCAAGCAGCATGCCACACCTTGGACAGCAGTGGTGCTCCGCATTCGAGCCTTCACATGCAGCCAGCCAGGCTGGACTGACCAGTGCGCCGAGCATAATCGTACGATGTTCCGCCCTCTCCAGGAGAAGAGAGCGCAGTTGCGCAAAGTCGACCTGTTCAGCGTCTTGCAAGAGCTGAGTTTCAGTCCTGCGTGTCAACATTTCTCTCGCTTCGTGGCGGTCACCTCTAAGGAAGAGGAGCAGCTGGTGCAAACGCCAGTTTTGCCTAAAGTTGTGCAGAGTCACGCTCCGAGATTGTCTACTACCAACCGAAAGGTCAATCCGATAAGAGGCCACCAAATCAGACTGCCAGACCCATGGCCGCACTACATTCCAGGAACGTTTGCTCATCCATTTCTTGAAGACATGAACCGATGAGCCCGGCTTACTGGCCCAAAGTCTGTCACCTGCCGGCACGTAACCCTGTCGTTCCAGGGATAGCACCTTGGTGATTTTGCTCAAGAGGCCCGAAGGGACCACACAGTCCAAGTGCAAGATGGCACCGTAGGCCGCAGCCCGAAGGTGCCTGTTTGCCATCCTGCACGTAGCCGAAGCCACAGTGGCCGTGCCAAAGAGCTTCTGCGCCTCAGCAAGAGGCGGGAGCCTTCCCACCCAGCCGTAAGCAGCCTTAGAAACACACCAGGAGCGAGACGCACGTATGAAGCGCGGCCAAGCAAGCCAAGCAGTACGAAGCATGACTTGTCGTGCTTTAGCAGCCATCAACCGGTTGCTCTCAGCCTCGGTGTTTTGACGGTAGCTACAAACGGTGCTGGCGCCCAACACTTCACATTCCGACCGCTGCCACTGCTGTGGACACTGGGCGGACATCATGTCACGAAAACGCTGGTACTTGGCACAGACCTGGGTCTTGGACGAGTTTTCCTTCAAACCCACTACAGAGGACCAGGCTTGCCACTCTGCGACCCAAGCTTCGGTGTGAGCCCAGGACTGCGAGACCGCCGTGCGATCATCCATGTAGGCTGCCTGCAGAAGCTGAGGTGGCAACCTCGCTGAGCGAGCGACGTGTTTGCATCCTGAAGCGATCCAGTAGCACAACACCAACGGGGCCATAGGGCACCCTTGCGGAGTAGAGTCGAGCGCCGTGAGGGGCGCAGACAGGGTAGTGTCCTGCCACTGAAGCCACCTTTGCTGTGCAGACCAGGCCGTGGCCCAGAGACTGCAGAAACCTTCATCCCAGCCAAGCGAGGAGAGAAAAGCTTTACTAACGTCGGGACTCATGCGATCATAAGCTTGGGAGAAGTCCAAAGAAGACAGTATGCCTCCTCCTGCTAACCGATCCTGCAAGACCATAGCTGTTTCTTCAGCGCTCAGTCCGTTCAGACTACCAAAAACACATTTAGGAAGTCTTTTACGACATCTTTGAAGTTCCGGAGTAGCCAACCAAGCAGCCATGTTGATCCTCCAGAAAACACTCATGACTGTAATCGGCCTAGTGTGTTTAGCAGCAATGGTGCTACCCTCGACTTTTGAAGCTTTGCTCAAGCAGACCTGCCGGGCTTGCAGCATCTGTTTAGGTAGCTCCTTAGCCGAGTGCCACCGCCGAAACAACAGGAGACAGGTGTGAATCGCAGCGTCAGGAGCATGTTTCAGCTCCGAAGAACACCATCCATCAATACCCGCGCTCCCTTTACACTTCCGAAAAGCCCGAGTGAGTCCTGCCAAGTCAGGCCCAGGCCACGAGGTGCCTGCAGGCTCACCGAAACTGGGGTCCTCAGGAACGAAGCGACCGTGAGGCAGCCTGAAGCCGTCCTC